ACCAATTATAACGCTCGGACCAAACCTTTCAAGCCGGGGCATACACAATGGTATATATATTTTATATTTACGCCCCCCCCCCGCCCCCCCACGACCCCCCCCCCCCCCCCCCCCCCCCCAAAGAATGGCAGGGATTGACATGTTTATTTGATGTTGCATCTACAACCTGCACACGCAATAGGTACAGTCAACAATACCGGTATGGTAACATAAACGGCCGTGCGTACCAAATGGCCAAATTGCGGCAGACGACGGTGCAATACAACTCGAATGCTACATGCATACATACGTAGTACAATGTCAATAACATCGGCTACGGCGCCTATCTACGCGTAATTTGAAAACTCCACACAGCGTCACCGTTGATCCTTCCCCGAGATAACATATTTCTAGAAAGAATCCTTCCGGAAGCTTGTGAGGATTTGCCTGCTTAGAATAGAAGCACGGACACGGAGGAGTTGGGACCTCCACTACCTATCCTGTACTATGTAAGTAGTAAGTAGTCGATGGTGAGATGGATATTTCCTCCCGGCTCGCCCGCTGCCTCCGTGAGGCGTTTTGCCTGGTTTAGGACGGGAGTGGGGGGTGTGGATGGATGTTCCGTGCATGGGTACGGCGCAATGCGCCCACTCTCTTTTTCTAGAACATTTCCTCTTTTGGAATCGTGAACCGGGATTCCCGTCCAGGGTCCTCCTCAGCTACGATTCAGGATGAATGGAAACCATTAACGTAAGTAGGAAGTAGGCGAGAAGGGTTGGTGGTGCCGCCTTCGCCGCCACACAGTTCGCCTCAGGCTTCAGCTGCGCTTGTTTCATCGGTAGGTGAGGTACTTTGCTGAGTGCCTACCTCCCTGGTCTCATACTAAGAGTGCGCGTCTAGCGTAAGATGAGAAAATCCCTTAAAACATGTTAATCAGCCGGACTACCTAGCTCAACATTCAGGGCACTGAGCAGCTTTCTCTACATGGACTTACCTACTATACTTAGTACTTGCTACTGTACAAGGAGGCATACCTGTCTTGAGATGGACCTCGCCGACTGCAAGGCAAAGGAACATTGGTTCCTGGGTGTAAAGCTCGAGATGATATCATCTATCTATATTACTCTCGTGTTCGCCGGCTTCCAATCCCGCGAACGCAGCCGTGCACCAGATATGCAAGCTGCCAGCCAAATAGGAATTAGAGAGGTGTTCCGAGTTGCGCGTCTACATTGCAGTAGTTCAAACAGCTTTCATCGAAAGATAACCCGTTTCTGGGTTCGGGATCCTCCATGCAAATGCAATCTCCAACTTGGAACCAACATATAATACATACATACAAAGTACCTAGGACGAGGCCGGCTTCAATGCAACACTACCTACTTACAGCGTGGGGCGTCTTTTCTACGGTTTTGCTGCAGTTGGGTAGTTGTCACCTCCGAAGATGCGAGCAAGGAATGGAGAGAAAGGAAGACACCCCACGTTCGAACCCTCCTTTTTTCTCAGCTGAATGTTCTTTTTTGCTTCTTCTATTCGGCTCAACTGAACCTTGGCGCCTCTTGGTTTCTAACGAGGCATTGGGTTGTTTCACCTCGCTTATCTATGATTCGCGACGAATTTCCCATCCTATCTATTTACGGCAGCTCGCCCGTCTACATGTGTACTGGGAAGTTGCATTGAACAACTGACGACATTCACAAACCCCTTTCGCATAGCTCATCGGCCGGGTTGACACGCTACGAACGGATAGACGGGTAGGTAACGTAACCCTAGGCGCCGATCTGCTGTTAGTTGCGTTTCGGGATCATACATCGGCTACCCACATGACCGGATTCCTATGCGATGGAAAAAAGTAGGTATGTGACCAAGGAGATGGGACAATTCACATACCCTAGCTTACATGTAGTTGCAACCCGAAACGATGGTCGTGGCAGTCCCTTTGACCAGAGCTGTTTTCTTCGCTTGAAATATCCTAGCCTTTCAAACTGTGTCTTTATGCGAGGTTGAGTCGTGTGACTAAATTTCCATAGCACCGGAAAAAAGGATTTTTGATATTCCTAGTTCACAGGTCCGCTGAGCGAGTGGCAAATACCAAGCGATTTAGAAAGGGGAGAGGCTAAAAAAGACGTCTGTCTCTGTTTGTTCTAATTATGGGCTGGTTCATGCATCTCTCACCGTCCGCGTATGAGCTAACGGACTCTCGCCAAAGATTCAACGTGGCGTTTGCGTCGCGTCACGTCCTGTGTTCAGCCAGTCAAAACGAGTCTGCAAAAGTCTCGACTTGTCTTATGACATTTTCGCTGAGAAAAGCACGTGGCCCTTCAGCGACGATTATTCAGCCTCGTAAGCCGCAATGGCAGCAAGCAGTAACGTCAGTAGGTACTCGAGAAAGTGCCACGATAGCCCCATGTTGCATTTAACCCACGCACCCAACACCTGTCAAGACGCCACGACGCGTGCAAGTAGAGTGACAGCGCAGGATTTCTTGGTATCCATTGGCAACATGTTGCGAATTGCACGTTTTACTGTAGCATCGCTTTGTGGTAAGTAAGCACAGCAGCACGGAATTAAGGTCGCTTTCTGCAATCCAAGTCGCTTGCAAGCGAACAGCGAGCTCACATGACAATTACAAAGAAACAGACAAGTGAGATCAGACGAGGTCAGACGATCCATAACAAGTGCCACGGCAATCTGTACTGAATCACGTATTACCTCAGTATCGAGAGGTAATTGAGTACTGGGTAAATACTGAATAAGTACGATGATGTCAAAAATAGTCTGGATGGCATTGATCGCCTTAATCAAAGAGCATCTCGATTCTGCTCGACAGACGCACATCACTCACACACACTCAAGACGATTAGATAGTACAGAATAGTATATACACACTGTTGAGATAATAGAAACTTAGAAAAAGAGAATTGGTTACCTTCTGGACAAATTATAATACAGACATCTATCTAATACCTAACGCTATCGTAGTGCTAAAACATCTTGCTATCTCCGCGGTGGTTGACCTTTGTGGGGAGTGGCATCGTTGATTGGTTCTTGACATGGGCGCTACGTCTCCTTATCAGAAGCCGACCCGCCCACGACCAACCCCCAGATCTCGCTCTCTCTCCATCGTCGACCAATTCTGCCTCCATTCGCGGCCCATCGATCTGGAATGCGCCCACCCGGCTACAATTCGGTATTGGTAACGAAACAACCGATCCCGTGGAGATGTCATCGCCGCGTTTTTTCTAGCGGGGACCGCGGCTCGTAGCCAATAGGGGCCCGTCTAATGCCCTTTTTGACCCTTTATCGTGGCACTGGTTTGCTAACGTCTACAGTACCGACACTATCTAAGATGGTAGTTGGCGGGCTGGCTGGCTAAGACTCTTGCGCCGGAGATGCACATCTCCAGAAGCATGGTTGGATAGATAGTTACAGGTACGACGATGCGACAAGGTAGACAGATAGATATTTCAAACCATTTCATGAGACCCTGTTTGATCTACGTGCTTTTTGAACATCTCTTCTCCTTTCCCTCTTCTCTGTATTCGCTTTCCTTTTTCTGCTCCCAATCAACCATCTAATTTCTCAAACAAGCGTCTCCTGGCCTGGTATAAGTTAACTGAATATTATACATTATCACTCCAATCTATTAATCATATGCTACACATCCCTGTATACCATCACCACACCGCCCGGCCCTAGCAACTCCTGTCCCGGGAAGTCATAGCACCATGGCGGTCGGTCAGAGGACCAGACTGGTCGTTGTCGGCCTCGGTATGGTCGGAATAGCCTTCATGTAAGTGGACGTGAGCATAATGCCAATAACACGAAAATACTCATTTGCCTATTTACCTATATGCACCTAAATATATCGTATCTCAGAAACTAACTATTGCATCTCATCCGTCCAGAGAGAAAGTATTAAAACTAGACGCAAGAGCCCGCGAATACGACATAATAGTCATTGGCGATGAGCCGCACTTCGCATACAATCGCGTGGGCTTGACGAGTTTCTTTGATCACCGGAAGGTCGAGAACTTATATTTAAATCCGCAAGAATGGGTATGGAACAAAACATCAGCATCAGCACCGCCACCACTCTCTGGAGATGATTGATTTCTTTGGTGCATCAAGACATCGTACTGACTGAATACATCAAAATAGTATGCCACACATGCTACGGAGAACCAGCTAAACTACCACCTCAACACCCTGGTGACGGAAATAGACTCAGCCAGCAAAACAGTAACCTGCGCCAACGGTGAGGTTGTCGCATATGACATCCTAGTGCTAGCCACGGGCTCGGATGCTGTGTTGCCCACACACACACCGGGCCACGACGCAAAGGGCGTCTTCGTCTACCGCACAATCGAGGACCTGCAGCGGCTAATCGAGTACGGGGAGGTGCGCAAGGGGACGATAGGCGCCGTCGTCGGCGGCGGTCTTCTCGGTCTCGAGGCCGCCGCCGCCATGCTCGATCTGAAGTGCTTCGAGCGCGTGAAGCTGATCGAGCGCAACCGATGGGTCATGAGCAGACAGCTAGATTCCGAAGCCGGAAACCTCGTCGTGGAGAAAGTCACGGAACTAGGCGTTGACGTGATGCTGACGAGACGGGTGGCGCGGATCACGACGGACGAAAGCGACACCGTCACGGGCGTCGTCTTCGAAGACGGCGAGGAAATGGACTGCTCGACCATCTGCTTCGCGATCGGCGTGCGGCCTCGCGACGAGCTGGCGCGCCAGGCGGGGATCAAGTGCGCGGAGCGCAGCGGCGGCGTCCTCGTCAACTCGGACCTATCGACGAGCGTGCCCGACGTCTACGCCATCGGCGAGTGCGCGAGCTGGGAGAACCAGACGTTTGGGCTGATCGCGCCGGGCATCGAGATGGCCGACGTGCTCTCCTTCAACCTGACGCAGGCGAAGCTACACCAGCCGCGCGCCTTCAAGAGACCTGACCTAAGCACGAAATTGAAGCTTCTCGGCGTCGATGTGGCGAGCTTCGGCGACTTCTTCGCTGATCGTGACGGCCCCAGTTCGTTGCCGGCCAAGGCCGCGCGGCGGATAAAGAAGACGGCGAGTCCCAACCGCGAGAAGCCTACCCCCGAGGTCCAGGCGCTCGTGTACAAGGACCCGTTCGCGCAGGTGTACAAGAAGTACCTGTTTACGACGGACGGGAAGTACCTCCTCGGTGGCATGATGATAGGCGACACGAGCGACTACGTCAAGCTAGTGCCTATGGTTAAGTCGCAAAAGGAGCTGGACATCCCGCCATCGCAACTCATCCTCGGCGCAAAGAAAGCGGGAGAGGACGACGGCGGGGACGACCTCGACGACGACACGCAGATCTGCTCGTGCCACAACGTGAGCAAGGGCGACGTCGTCAAGGTCGCCAAGGAGGGCACGTGCAAGTCTGTGGGCGAGGTGAAAGCGTGCACCAAGGCCGGCACGGGCTGCGGCGGCTGCATGCCGCTCGTGACGAGCATCTTCAACAAGGCGATGGCCGACATGGGTGCCGAGGTCAAGAACTGCCTTTGCGCGCACTTCAACTACTCGCGCGCCGACCTGTACAACATCATCATGGTGAAGCAGCTAACGACGCTCGCCGAGGTGATGCGCGAGGCCGGCAACGACACGGAGTCGGACGGCTGCGAGGCGTGCAAGCCCGCCATCGGAAGCATCATGGCCTCGCTGTGGAACAAGCACGTCATGAGCAAGCCGCTGCACGGCCTGCAGGAGACCAACGACAGGTACCTGGGCAACATCCAGCGGGACGGGACGTACTCGGTGGTGCCGCGGGTGTCGGCCGGCGAGATCCTGCCGGAGCATCTGATCGTGATAGGCGAGGTGGCGAAGGACTACAACCTGTACACCAAGATCACCGGCGGGCAGCGCATCGACATGTTCGGCGCCAAGAAGCAGGATCTCATCGAGATCTGGCGACGACTCATCGAGGGCGGCATGGAGAGTGGCCATGCCTACGCCAAGTCGCTGCGCACAGTCAAGAGCTGCGTCGGAAGCACCTGGTGCCGGTATGGTGTGGGCGACAGCGTGGGCATGGCGCTGCGCGTCGAAGAGCGGTATAAGAGTCTTCGTGCTCCTCACAAGATCAAGGGCGGCGTCAGCGGTTGTGTGCGAGAGTGCGCCGAGGCCCAAAGCAAAGAGTATGTTCACCCCTTCCCCCCCTTCCACATTCCCCCCTCCAAGGCACACACAACCGAATCAAGGAATAGAAACGCAATAAGCCACGCACGCAAATGCTAACACTGCATCACAGCTTCGGCCTCATCGCCACAGAAAAGGGATTCAACATCTTCGTAGGCGGCAACGGCGGCGCGAGCCCGAAGCACGCCGAACTGCTCGCCAAAGACGTGCCGCCATCCGAGGTAGTCCCCATCCTAGACCGGTACCTAATGTTCTACATCCGCACGGCCGACAAGCTGCAGCGCACGGCGCGGTGGCTCGAGGCGCTCCCCGGCGGGCTGAAATACCTCAAGGAGGTCATCCTAGAGGACAAGCTGGGGATCTGCGCGTCGCTAGAAGCGCAGATGAACGAGCTCGTGGACTCCTTCTTCGACGAGTGGGCCGAGGCGGTGCAGAATCCCGCGATAGCCTCCAAGTTCCGGCAATTCGCCAACACGAAGGAGACGCTGGAGACGGTGGAGGTCGAGCATGACCGCGGGCAGAGCCGGCCTGCGTTCTGGCCGACGGAGGCCGCGAGGGACGACTTCAAGGGCTTGAAGGACCGCTGGTCGAGCACGGCGTGGCAGCCCGTCATCGAGGCGAGTTACTTCGCGGGCGCCGACGACACGCCCAACGGCGTCTCGGCCAACATCAAGCGTGGCGACACGCAGCTCGCGCTGTGGCGCGTCAGGGGGAAATACTACGCCACGCAGCAGATGTGTCCGCACAAGCGGACGTTCGCGCTATCAGAGGGCCTGATCGGGCAGGACGTATTACCGCCTACACCGCCCACGACGCCGCCCTCGCTCTCGCCTCCATCTTCGCCCACCGCCAGCGCCGCCGAGGTAGTCTCTCCTAACCCCCCTACTCCTACTACAACAACCACCACTACTACAAAAGAACCCTGCGGCTCCGCCAAGACCCCCTGGGTATCCTGCCCCTACCACAAGCGCAACTTCGACCTCTCGTCGGGCTCGTGCACGAACGACGCGGAGCTCTCCATCGCCACCTTCGCGGCCGAGGAGCGCGCCGACGGCCTCGTGTACATCAAGCTGCCGCCCGTCGAGGAGCTCGACGCCGAGCTCGGCACGTCCAGGTGGAAGGTGAAGAAGGGGGAACACGGCGGCGCCGAGGGCGAGTTCGCCGAGCTCGACCGCAAGATCAACTTCAAGGGGCGCAGGGCCAAGAAGGTCGGTCTCAAGCCCATCGCCACCGACGACGACTTGGCCGCTGCGCGCAAAGTCGAGCAGGGGGCGAGGATTACGGGTATCAGTGGCGGTTGTGGTGCCGCGCCCGACTGGTGATGTGCATTTATATGTTGATTATCTTTTTATCTCGATTTGTTCTGCAGCATGGGGAGACATCAGGTTATTTTGGTTATTGGTCATGAACTGGGCATTTATAGGTTGGCATGGGATACATACATATACCTACAGCGAGTGGTCACAGACACAAGAGTGTAAGTAGACATACTATTACGGCGTTCAGGATATTTGGAGTCCGAACATGTTATAAAAAATCAAGTGGGAAATTCCCAAGGAACTACACTCTTGCTTCGTAGAGCAGTGTCAAAGGGAGAGGAAGACAGGCTAGCTAGCTTCCACTTATCCATTACTCCATAACTCAGAGCAGACATGATAGGCACATAGTAGTATTACTATCTCCCAAAATCGTACATCAAAGTTGAATGTAAATCTGGTGTTTTCGACTCATGTGATATATCGTGTGAGGTATTCGTGAGATGAACAGCTATATGCTACACAAATACGGCCAAGATTAAGAAATTACGCGCAATATGAAAAAGCAACTATAGGAAATTAGGTACATACACAACTCATATATACGATGCCAATACGCAATGTAAATACTAAAGAGCGCGGATATCCGCCTTTTTCACACAGGCTTCATCCGAAAGATAAATTTAGGCAGCCGAAAGGCTTTAATATTAGTCAGTACTTCAAGCAAAAGGCGGCATTGGCCATCATGAAAGTAATTCGCACCGACAATTCAAGTGCTATCCCTGAGGCACGAATGAATAGTTGAGGTGATCTCTCATTCAGGCCGACGAGCCCGACGGTGAACTTCATACTGATAATTAATATTGGTACAAGAAATTTATTGAGTTTCTTGTCACTACAGGCAATGAATAATCGCTCTCCCTTTTTTTGCTCCAGACGACAAACACCAAAGAGGTATATCTAACGAACCCTGGAGCGCACCCACCGTCACAGTTCAATAATTTCATTACATGACGAGCACTGGTTTCCAGGTAACACAGAAAGAGATCTGGGAATAGGACAAAATGGCAATTCACCAGAATATGCTACAAAGCTTGGGTTGTTTCAACCCGATGCCTAGGCATTCAAGCGTTGTCATTCGTGCAAATAGGGGTATCCGAAGGGTGCATTTATTCCTCATCCCCCATGGGGACCTCCTCCTCGTCGTACTCCTCCCCATCATCAGCAGTAGCATCCTGATACTGCTGGTACTCACTAACCAAGTCGTTCATGTTGGACTCAGCCTCAGTGAACTCCATCTCGTCCATACCCTCGCCAGTGTACCAATGCAAGAAAGCCTTGCGTCGGAACATGGCAGAGAATTGCTCCCCAACACGTCGGAACAGCTCCTGGATAGCAGTCGAGTTACCGACGAAGGTAGACGACATCTTGAGGCCACGAGGAGGAATAGAGCAGAGAGCGGTCTGGACGTTGTTGGGGATCCACTCGACGAAGTATGTGGAGTTCTTGTTCTGAACATTGCGCATCTGGTCCTCAACCTCCTTCATGGAAACCTTGCCACGGCTAGAAAAAGAAGCAAGTTAGCAGTGAATATGTTAAAGCTCAAAGGTAAATACGTACAAGATGGCAGAGCATGTGAGGTAGCGGCCGTTACGGAAATCAGCAGCGGCCATCATGTTCTTAGGGTCGAACATTTGCTGGGTCAACTCGGGAACCGTCACAGCACGGAAAGAGTGGGCACCACGGCTGGTCAGAGGAGCGAAGCCGACCATGAAGAAGTGTAGACGAGGGAAGGGCACCATGTTGACGGCCAACTTGCGCAAATCAGAGTTAAGCTGTCCAGGGAAACGGAGGCAGGTGGTTACACCAGACATGACAGCGGAAACGAGGTGGTTCAAGTCACCGTATGAAGGGTTGGATAGCTTCAAGGTGCGCATGCAGATATCGTAGAGAGCCTCGTTATCGATACAGAAGGTCTCGTCAGAATTCTCGACCAGCTGGTGGACTGAGAGAGTAGCATTGTAAGGTTCGACAACGGTGTCTGATACCTTGGGGGAAGGCATAACGGAGAAAGTAGCCATCATGCGGTCGGGGAACTCCTCGCGAATCTTGGAGATCAACAGAGTACCCATACCAGCACCGGTACCACCACCGAGAGAGTGGGTGATCTGGAAACCCTGGAGGCAGTCACAGCCCTCAGCCTCACGACGGACAACATCAAGAACGTTGTCGACGAGCTCAGCACCTTCAGTGTAGTGACCCTTGGCCCAGTTGTTGCCAGCACCAGACTGACCGAAGACGATGTTGTCGGGTCGGAAGAGCTGACCGAAGGGACCAGCACGGACAGCGTCCATGGTACCGGGCTCCAAATCGACAAGAACGGCACGAGGGACGTACTTGTTGCCCGAACCCTGAACCAACTTGTGTTAGAACTTGCTTGTTCTATATCACCACTACCCAGCAATTTGACCTACCTCGTTGAAGTAAACCCTCATTCTCTCGAGTTGAAGGTCAGAGGTTCCTTGGTAACTATTCCATGATTGTCAGCCAACCGTTCTATTCGCGTCGCTGTGCCGTATGGCCATCGAAAGTATACATAGACCTACACGCCACTACCATCGAGACCGTGCTCGCCAGAAATTTGCTGCCAGAAAGCAGCACCGATTTGGTTACCCTGATCATGCTATGTGAGTCTCGAGAGGTTCCCAATGTCGTCGTCGAAGATCGTAGAGGCGACTTACGCATTGGCCGGTTTGGAGGTGGACCTGTTGATGGGAGGAGCGCGGTTAGCCTAGCTTCCATAGAATAATTTGGTAAATAGCCGAGCAACGCTCGATCAAGCTCAATTCTATTGACCACAAATTTCATGTCTAGATGTGAAGACACCGATGTACATGAGAGACCAAGACTAGAGGCATTATAGACTGGGAACGCGTCTCGGGCCAAGGCAGCAGATCACGGATGGAGCTTGATTGGGTTGGAAAGAAAAGTAAACAGAGGGAGGGGCGAGGGTGGGTTGAATCCGGGGAAAGACTCACAATCTCACGCATTTTGGCGACTGAGGGAATGAATTATACGGAACACAGAGCAGGAGGATATGTCGAGCAGAGGTCAGGATGGAGGAAGACAGTAGTCGTCGTGGTTGTAGAGGAAAGGGGAGGTTTAAGAAAGAGTGGAAAAGAAAGCGGTGTGTTGGGAGAGAGAGAGAGAGAAGACGGCTCGGGCTGTTGTGTGGAGAGGAGAGAAGCGTGGGGGGCAGCTTGTGGTTGGCTGGATTTTGGTGTGAGAGAGCGCCCGTGTTACGGTACCTTACTTTGTAGAGGGGACTCAGAGGGGACGGGTCACCACTACAGCGCTGGTTATCTACCTAAGCACAGCTAAGTAGCAGCTAAGTAGGCACCTACCCAGGTACTAGCTGCAGTACCTAGGTACCTACTCTCCCCCATTTTGCTCAGGGACTTGTCCAGGGGCCAGCACAGAAGCCCAGGCAGTATATCAGGAAGCCACGGCCCAAACAGGCAAGGGGTCTCAGCGGTGTGCCAATCAAAGAAAAGCACCACACAGGTCCCTGTTGGCACTTGCCGACAAAAAACATTTGCCCCGCTTTCCTTGTGGATGGCCAGGCCGACGGCTCTGAACAACTTGATACTTATCCTTCTCCTCTACCTCTATGAAGAATACTTACTATCATATCGCATAGCGTCTTGCGAGCAGATATATCCGGCAATTGACTCTATAAACGCATTCTACCACGTGCCCCACAAGCAAGGAGCTTGTGTAGGGAACAGTCAAAAACCTCAAGAGCTCTATAACGTTATTGTTTACATCTATTCGTACTAGGTACACATAGGTATGTAGAGTAAGTAGGTAACCGATAATCTCGACGTATGATAACTCTAATTTCATAACCCGCGCTAACCCAATCATCAACCATACTTAAGCTGGCCACAGCCTGGCCACTTACATGTACTGACAACACATCAATCATACTGTAAAAAAAAAGAAGCATGTTATTTTATGTTCGGCCCTTGCAGATCAAACGCTAACCCCAACATAGTCTAGAACCCTCATCTTCCTCTCTGCGATTAGCGGCTTGGCAATCTGGTCTCTCCCGATTGGTCAGAGCTTCGTCGTCAATTCAACTTCTTCCCCTTTTCACAGTCTATGGAAGACGGCAAGATACCAGCACCATATTGTCTCTTCATAGTCCTACATAGTCTTCAAATATCAGTGCAAAGCCTATACGCTCCAAGCTGTATGTCATGCTCGTTACACTTACTCCTGTACTGATCTCCAGCGGAAGCTTAGAGGCCATCACCATCTCAGCATCTACTTCCATAATCACATCTTCCCGCATTGTGAGACCGAGCGGTTATTAACAACCTACTCACTTGAGTGAGTGCTAGACCAAGCCTTATATCCCAATATGCAGGGCAAGAGCGTTATCTAGCCCTTTACCCAATGATGCAAAAAGTGGCGTACAAGCTCCTTGGTGATGGTCAAGCAGCGAAAACTAATGCGGAGAGCCGGAGAATTTGCTGATCGAGAACACCTTCACTACCAACGAACCCAGGTACGAGTTAACTACTTTACAAATGCAAACAAATATTTACCTTGACCAAAAAAAAAAAAAAAAATCACCTGGCCTCTGGGTTAGTTCCTTCTGTGTGCCATAGAGCTGATAGATCGGAGCAAGCTTATTTCGTGACTTTGGTCAATCTGACTACCAAACACATAAATACTCATCTCAAACAGCTTGGATGTTGCCTAAGTAGCCACTCCTCTTTCCCTGTATAACAGTGGCATGTTAGAATCTAGAAAGCTACTTACCTACCTATCCGTACGTACCCTAAAGATAACGTGAGAAATACTCGATACGGCAGTCTCGATTAGAACGATCTGTAGGTAGCTCTTCCTATCTTTCCAGCCACCCGTCTGGGGGTTTATTCGGGACTATCGAGGCAAACAAATTGTAATCACATTCATCACAATGAATAACAAACTCCCGCAGCCTTTCCAGGGCCTAGTTTGAGGGTTCAAACCACAAATCAATCAAGCCCCCGTGTACACATATACTCATATCCGGACAAACTTTGCCAGGAACCCAGCATGTAGGCAGTAAATCTCAACGAGCATATCAATCAACGCAAGCACGCAAGTACGCAATCTCAAATCACTCATATGCCCACCACGACCAGGCGAGGCAAACACATCATGAATAACAGAGTCATTAATTCGTGTTCATTATTTTCCGTGATTCTATAGACTGTGTGATCTCTTTTGTTTTCGGTAACCCCGTTTCATGCCCCGAGACCGAATGATGAATGAACAATGCGAATTTCCCCGACACCTGTTGACATGATACCGACAAGAGTGAGAAAAAAAAAGACAAAAGTGGTAAAAAGACCATACAACTGTCATTTGAGACTCTCTGGGGGAAAGATCCCTGGTCGTCAGCATCGTAAGATATCCAGGTGGTCCAGGAAGGCGAATAATAGAAAAAAAAATATGACAAGGCCACAATGACAGTTGCATCTTATTAGCGTTCCCCACTTTCTCGTGTCTTCGTCGTGTCGTACGCGCTCTATGATTATCTAGACAGAAGAATGTGCTTCAGTTCGGAGACGCTCCGAAAAGCTCGCAACCAACCCGGCGCTATGCAATCAAACAGATATTCTTACATATACACAATTCCTCCCAGAAACGAGTTCGTACACTGCGAGGGAGGGGAGGGACGGGGAATGGGTGGCCGGAGGCGAAACCCGATCTAGGGTCACACCTCGACCAGCTCAACGAACTATCATCACATGCATTCGGCGGCCAATCCCATTAGAGGGCGACGTACTGACAGAGTTGCTGCCGAGTGCTGACTTAGTGGGACTATGAGAGCCACGCCGCGTGGGACTGGATGTTGGTTCATCAAAGACGCGGGTGAATGCAGGACTCCCATCTGCCCTCGTGTATTTGGGCGTTCTTGCTGGACTTTGCGTGATGTGATCTGCTCGGCGAACGAGTTCCGACAGACTGTCCCGCAGGTCCCCCGCCCGTTTGACCAGTTCTTTAAGGCTGTTCGTATCGAAATTCATTTTGCCGTTAGTATACTTGTTGGTATTATCTACGGCGTCGTCGTCGTCATCATCGTCGGCATCGACATCAAAAGTCGTACGATGCTTGCGCATTGACTCCATGACTGACCTCGCAACACTTGTGGAGCGAGGCTCAGAAATAGGGTTCTCCGGCGTCCTCGGCCTTTCTAAGTCAACCCCTTCGTATGTGTTGTCCCAGGTACCAAAAATATCGTCATCAGGCGAAAAGACAGATCGGCGGCGCGATGACGGTGAAGTTCGGCGACCTTGGGTTTCTCTCATCTCAAGAGAGGCACCGTCAAATCCCTGCTCGATGAATCGTTCATCAACGAGAACCGAGTCAGAACCATCAGGTGTCCCAGTATGTGCTACTTCCTCTGTATCCTCGTCAGGGGAAGCTAAAGCTATGATACCTTCCGCCTCATGCCATAACTTGGCAGATGAGCCAACAGAGAGATTCATCTCACGTCCTAAGCGACATAATCGTTTCAAGTCATTGACTAAAAGAGATAGCTCCCTGATTTGACCAGAATGAGCTTTGACCGTCGGTTGCGTGGCCTGAATCGAAGCTGGAACGAACATAGACAAGTGATTCTCCTTCTTCCCTGAAGGACCAGTCATTGGCACCACATCTTCCTCAAATTCAAAATCATCGTCCCAATCTTCACTGACGTTCTTCTGTCCTAAGCCCCAGGTACCGAATTTAGGAACCGACTTCGCTGGTTCCGTCGGATCCGGAACAACAGGGACACTTTGACTTCGTACATGAGTGGCTACAAAGCCCTTACGGCTGGCTGATCGTCCGCCTCTCAGATCAAGCTCTTGTTTTCCGTGTACAGTCTTGGGTCGGTGGATGTAACCGTTCTTTTCGCGCTTATCATGTACACTGGTTTCCGTCCAATCGAAAACAGTACTTCGAGGTCGCTCACGAGCAGAATCAAAGTGCTCGCCACGTCTAGAGTTGCCATTGATCCTTCCCAGCGTCCTTCGAACTTTGGGACTTCCTCGTCGAGAGTTCATCGAACTTGGCGGCGAGAGGTGATTATAGAACTCTGTTTCTTCTGCCCTTGCCCACCCTAGATCGTCATCATCATCAAGGGATAAACGAATGTAGTGTTTGTCAATGGGGAAACTTGAAATGATGGGATTATCTGTGAACTTTTCATCATCTGGAATATTTGCGGCATGAAAGCGTGCTTCGAACTCCTCGTAGGTTCCTGGTATAGGTGTCGAAGCATTTTCATCTTCTTCTATGATCTTGTTCCCATCATCAAAAGCCGGCCCCATAATTTCTTGAACAGAGAGACGTTTCGGCTTGATACTGTTACCCGCCGTACTCGGCGGAGAATCGTCAAACATCGATTCTAATGGACTGTCAGGACCCTTTTTACGACCGGAGGCCACCGTCCTAAAGGAGTCAAACGGTGTATCCGTTTTAAAGTCGGTGTCATCATCATCACCAGAAGTAAAGCCACGATGATACTCGGAGCTACCAACCGTTGAAGCACGATCCAGCGTCCGTGTGTGTGATGTGTGGGAGTGAACCCTCGATGACACCGAAGGGCTAACGATAGATTCGTCAGTTTTATCTGGCAACCCTGAAGATAAAGAGCTGTGGCCGTTTGTCTCTAGATGAAAACTCGAGAGTCGTGATAGAGGCGGGAGCGGAGAAGGGACGCCCAATTTCATTTGAGGAGATGCTTCGGGAGGACGGAAAATAGCGGCGAAATCAGCCTCAGCTTGGCTGACCTCTATCTTCTCGGGAATTATGCTCTTGTCGTCCTGGGTCTGAGCTTCTCCATCTGTAATGGGAGCAGAAACATGACGTTTGCCTCCTGTTGTCTCGCTTCCCCTCTTACGGCGTCTGAGACTCCCCGTTCTTGATATCCAGTTCGTAGGGGAGCTAAACTGCATCGAAATCGACCGCTTAGGCGGTTTCGAAGGCGTTACCTCGGTTAAATCTAGTTCCTTCTCCGATGCCTTAGGACTATCTTTATTATTAGTATGGGGTGGGGAGACAGATTTATGGGAAACCCCGTCTGCCACCTCCCTGGAATCACTCATTATAATATTATTAGGGCTAACAAGATAGACTTGTTCAGTATGCAGTTGATCAGCGCGAATTCGTCTCCCCGGAGACTGGCCAGTATCGTCAGTTCCTCGTAATGGACTCGTCTTTTTCGTGATGTTGGAAAGTTTGGAGTGCCAGAACGATCTCCACTTAGAACGCTCGTTCCCAGCAGAGCTGTGAGGGAGCTTCTCCTGGTGCGTGCCCACCGTCTTGGCTCGGGGTCGGTTGCTTCGGTCAAAGGAAAACTTAGGTAACGGTGGTAGTTCTTCAGCATTTAGCTGATGCTGCAATGTTGCTGACCGCTGGTGACTTGTGGCTGGCCGCCGTAATGTCATCTGAGCTCTCGATCCTCTCCTCTTAGGGTAACCCGCGTCCAACGAAGGCGTCCCTGGCGCGCGCTTCACTAGTTTGTTTGGCGGAAGCTGAGTTGGTATATCTCTCGATGAAGATAATATCGGGGCGGTCGAGCCGAAAGAGAAGAGCGATGGTGAATCTGGTCCAATACTTGACCGTATGCTTCCGTGTTGGGACAGTGGGCGGATGGTCAATCTTCGCATCCACGACCCATTGGAGGATACTGAGTCGCAAGAGTCTTCCGCAATTGGCGGAGCGGGTGAACGCTCGCCAGGTTTGACCACCGAATGACGGGAACCTGGGGACCTCGTGACTATTATCTGAGCATGCGATGTTCGTCGAACAATTCGTGCTTGGGACGTGGCACTGTTGGGTACCGCAGACTGACGCAGGGGTAGCACGGGCTGGTTTTGGGGTGCAGGTGACGCTGTTGATGCTGCAGAACTCGTACCAGGTCGGGAGAAAGAGATAGTTCTCGAGAAATCGTGGTCGGTTACGAGTTTTCGCCTGATCGAACCTGAGCTGTGGTGGGGAGCGTACTGTTGCTCACTCTCGGCACGCTGGCCAAAGACCAGCCCCGTTGCCGCCGCAGCGACAGCAGTACCAGCCCCAATAAGCTACCACAGAGAAACTCAACGTTAGTTTAGAAATAAATAAACTCGATCCTCATGAAGCGCCAACATGAACGGGCACGTATACAAGGGCTCAAAGACGATGCGGCGAGCTCCTATACATTCGCGTGTATTTTTCGAGACGAGGTGCAATTTGGGAAATACCATTGTCATGTGTGCCATTGCGTGCATACTATGCAATGTCTCGGGCGAGTGGGTAATAGAGATCGAGTGCGCAAGCCGGTGTTGGTGTCCGGGCCCACTAACTAACTGGATTGCGATGGTATGGAACAAAGGAAGGGAGCGCGGATTCGGGGATCGAGATCTTAACTTACACTAGGGACGGTCTGCATCTCGAAAGCTAGCTCCCGCGGCTCAGGAGACGAAGAAGAGGCCTTCAAGTTTGAGGCAGAAGGGGAAAAAAGAGGTTCTCTTCAGTGTGATCATGGCCCGTTCATTTCTCGTCAAGACATTGCAATCTCAGCTAGAAGAGACGGTGGATACCAAGGAATGCCAGTAAATCTGATCGGCTCATCCAGCCAAGCCCCTGGATTCTCGTCTTCCGTTGTGTCGTGTTGGGTTCCTGGTTATTGGGTTGTGGTTTCCGGCTTCGTGGGCGCGTGGCAGCGGGCGGTTTGTGTATTTCAACAAATACGTCCGTATGGCCTATGATATTCTGGTAGATGGGGCGGGATGAGTGGTGGGATGCGGTCGTGGATCTGGCGGCCTGGCGTGTGTGGCAGTTGATCGAGTGCAGTGTGGGATGTATACTATGCGTGCATATGTGTCTGTGTAGGTACGGCTCACAGCTCGGGATAAGTACGAAATGATAACTGGCGCATGAACCGACGGGATAATGCTCTCGTAGCAGTATACACACAATGGCCTGGGTAGGAATTGAAGGTTACAAGGGCGAAAGAATCAACATCAATAACAACAAAAACAAATGTCAATGGGCGACCAGAGTGGGGATGCAAGGCCGGGCCTATGGGGGGCGAATGGGCGAATTTAGAGCTGTATGTATCAACGTCTCGGGAAGGGCTAGAAAAAGAGACAATTGTGTCTGAATGTGAGTGCTGAATGGAGAGGTCTAGAGAAGTGAAATGGACAATATAACATCCATAGTAGATTGGACCGTGACTGTCGATACCTTGGATAGTGGCAGGTAGGAGCCTACTATGTAAGTAGGTCGCTAAGGTAGGTAAAGTAGAGGTATAAGGGGCAGGTAAGAAGAGACAGACAGTCAGTCAAGACGGCCAAGCCAGTCCGGTCCAGGCAGGAGGAGGAAGTCGAATTGAGGATTGGTGGAAGGTCGTCGCCGTTGTTGTTGTTGTCGTCGTCCACGAGACGGAAGAACAGAAGACTCAGGACAAGAAGTTGCAATGCAATCCAACTCTCCCGTGTTATTTTTTTTCTCTCTGCCCCCCGGGCTGGCTCGGTCTCAGGACGACCTAGAACTAACTGGAGCGACAGGAACAAACATATCATTTACAATTTCCTACTGCATTATTACTGGGACAGAACTGGGACTGTCCCGCGCCGCCTTGCCTAGCATTAGACAGTGCACAGTACAAGCAGCAAAACGGCGTGGTCCATTGGCGAAAAGAGTCGTGGGCAAGTACATAGCAGATACGTAGGTACCTGGCTCGCCTGGGGGCTCCCAGTGCTAGTCCCAATTGTCGCAGGTGATGGCTGACAATATGAAATCGTTGGAATAAACACTGAGCAGACTGAGAAAGCTAAACCGGCTGCGTGACGCGGATTGGACGTCGACGAATTACACAACGCCGCGGTCCGGGTTCCCCTTGCTGCCCTCCTCCTCATCTCACGGCGCGAGGGGGCCAAGCAATGTCCAAGATGCACGATGCACTGCAGCGAGGAGGGCTTCCAGGGAGCAAGGAAGCAGGCGACGTTGCAGGCAGGTACCTGCTCACCGCTACAGCCGGGCGCGAAATTGCAGGTACCGGCACCAACGGGGCGAGCACTGTGGTAATTACGGCGCTGACCGAGACCTGCAAGAATGAGCCTGCAAGTCAAGCTTAGCGCACCTGTAGCGTAGCTGGGTGAAGTGTAACACATAAGGGCCGCCTATAAGTACTATAATAAGGTGCCTACTAGGTACCTAGGTATGTACATACTTGCCTACATTCAATGACCTACTGCCCTGTAACACTGCTAAAAGCTTCCAAGGTTCCATGCAAATGTATTAGTAGTCGCCTAAAAGTTCCAGCCGTTACCCCGGCACCGCCCTGAACGATGCCGGTTTTTTTTGGGGGGGAGGGGGGGGGGTTTCTTTCTTTCTGTTTTAGCGTACAAATCTCAAACAGAGCGCAGTCCAAGGCGGCGCCAGTTAGTCAGGCAGGTCTTGCCCCGTCAGTCGGATATGACGATGCTTAATACAGGTCTGATGCAGGGAACAGCGCTGCCCCATTGGAAGCAACTACCTGTCGATATCAAGATGATTTATACATACTGAGTACCTTAGTATGTGACCTAACAGAGTCATCTATTCAGGCAAATTATTTTACCGTATCCTACACGTCTTCCACGCTCGCTTGGAGGTTGGTAAGTTCTTAGAAACGCGTGGTATATTACTACTAGGTAGGGATATCAGCCCTAGATCCCAAATATCAACCGGTCGTCTCAGCTTCTTACGCCTGTCGCTTCGTATTACTTACCTAGTATACCTAGGTATTAAGTAGCTAGTCGGGCAGTGAATCGTACAATATGCTGTCTCCCATTACCACATTATCCTACCAGACTGCATACCTAGGTAGGTAGTACATTTCTACAGGTGGTATATTAACGCCTCGCCCAGACCAGACACCTATTCGCGATGCACTGCACTGTATGTATGCCGTAAGTGCAGAAGATCCGCTAGAACTTCATGTATGAGCCTGCCTACCCTGTAAATCCACTCACTGGTGTCTACATATGCAGTGTCAAGCTCTGCAGCCAGCCCAACTGCACCCAAAGTCCTGGATCTCCCCTGATGACGACTTGCCTAGCTTAGAGCCGGCCCTCGCTATCTACATATGTACATGTAGATATACGCATGTGCACAACAGTATAGTACTACGTAGGTGGTATCCAAGGTGATTAGACATACAAAATACACATCTAGATAAAAGAGTCCGGAGCAAGTGAGTTCATGTTAGTTTATCTTTGCTTATTGAGACGCCTGGTTATGGAACGCATTATGCTGTATGCCATTGACGATCCGATTGTTAATGCGTACTCCGCTCATGCGCATTGAAGAATGAATGGTACCCCAAGCTCCTACGCCTACGCGTAAGTCCCTGGGTATGTACAGGCACATGCGGACCTATTATAAGAAATCGAAGCTGGTACATACATGTGTATATCTACGTGCGCCTTGTCCAAACATATACATTACCTACCACATCTAGATCCACAGCCTTCTATCAGTACTAGGACGCGATAGAAGTAGGTAGGTAGTTTTATTTTCCGACGCAAGAGCTGTAGGTAGCTCCCTAGCAGCACATGGAGTTCAGGTTATTTAGTTAGTTACATGTAGTAAGAAACGAGCAAAATAGCCCCATCTCGCGTGCCTTGTTTTAGCGCATCCCACCCCAGCAGGCCGATCGTCATCTTCTATTGGCTCCAAGCCTCGTTACTGGGCGACAATGACCTGCAGGCTACTGCAGCACACGATGCCAATTGCAGCGTCATCTGCCTTTGCTATTCCTGGGACTCCCTGGTAAATTGCAAAGAAGTCAAGCCTGCATCTTTTGCTGCCGTCCTTGAGCTAACAGTTGCAGCTCATTTTATTCAAATGCACTATGAAGCCGCCATGTCCAACATCAGTTCATTTTATACAGTCCTAACGGGTTAAGCAACTGCGGTTGCCAGCTCTGTCCCTACGAGGCTAGTTAACCTGCAGTCTTCAGCTCTCTCTCTCCCTCGCGACTTACAACGCCATATCCCTTTTCACATCTACTAATAGTCCTTCGTAATGTATCAAGGAACACGACAAGACTATCTCCTGGGCACCAGGCTAGTCAATCCAACGCTACTTTCCCGTTTACAATTACAGATAGGTATCGTCAACGTTACGTGAATAATGTTACTAGGTACATATATACATAGGTATGCCTTACTTATGCTACAGTACATCGGTGCTTTTCCGTTAATGTAAGTAACAAGTCGCTCCAGCAGGATGTGGGGGGGTAAGCGATCTTGGTAACTCCATGCTTAAAATATCATATCATGTGTACCACTCGCCATGTGCATATTTCCTCTACCAAGCTAGGGCTGGCTCTACCTAAGTAGGATATACATGTACATATAGGTATTTTGTCTGTACTGTATTCTATCAAATACCTTCTACTACGGTAGGTAATCATCACTTGCAGCCTTGTCAGAGAGTATCAACCACGTGTAAGTAGACAGATCGGTTACTTACCCAGATTACGTTGAATCCTCCGATCCTTAATGAACATCCGAGACCCGGATAAACCTTTGCTTTGACTCCGGGTGGACTTACTTATTTTCATCTGAACAGCAAGGGGCCACTTTAATACCCGGAGCCAATTCCTTTTCAAGTGCGCAATTCGTGATAGAGCCAACAAGAAACAAGGAATAGTCGGATTACAAAACAATGGTGACAGCGTGAAACCCAAGGTCCAAGGTAACAATACCGTCTTTGGCTAGCAGACCGAATCCGCTGTAGCTGATCATTACTACACTACTTACTAGAACTGCTGACTTACATATACCTACATGCGTTACCTAGATTACACCCGCAAAAGTGCCAGCGAGATTTTGCGTGTCGACAGCATCACAATCATATCACATTGTGCGTTGTGCCAATGTGCCCATTGTTTGTCGTGTCGTGTCGTTCCGGCCGTTGCCAATCAACTCTTGTGCCTCCCTTCTCCCTTTTCCGTGCCGTGCTTCTATTCGGTGCTCGCTTCATCCAATAGCCGGCGCGCCTTATCACTGGTCATGAATGATCGACTCGCCTTTTTATACCTCAAATATAAATCAAACGTATCAAATCCCTTCAGGAGCCGAGCGGTTTGTGTTACGACTAAAGAACCCCTTCCGTATCCGCCTCTCGTACTATATAAATGATCTTTGCCTCGTGTACCCAGCCGTCTCTGTGTAATAGATAAACGCACATTCGACTTTCCGCTTCCTTGCTTGCCGTGGGATCCTATGTGCCGCACACGGGTCTTCCCTGGTGTTCTCTATAACCGTACTCTCTTCACCACAAAAGCAATGTATTAGCTGTTACAACAAGACGGGAAAGCCTCGCTGCCCGTTTTCCCTTTTTTTTTTCTCCCCCCTCCTGCTCCCTACCTACGTACCTATGAAATAATAGCCCGCTTGAAAGGGGCCACAAACGGAGCAACTTTCGGTGGTCAGCGAGGCTCGTGTTCCTATATGTCGCCATACATATACATTCGCTAGGACGCGGCGCGGTGGATATGGGATTCACGTACGCCTAAGTACAGGTAGATCTGTACCAGAAAATACTGTCGAGGTAGCTTGCCGAAATATCATGATCTGAGACCCCTATTGTCACGGTTGCCAGGCATCTACACACCTACACAGGATCTTTTGACACGCGGTCTGTCCATTTGCTTATTCAGTTATGACTGACCCAATGGGGCGATGCGGCAGTGTATATTAGTAGGCATAACATAAAGACCCCGTCTAGCAATGTTTCGTCCGTTGAAGTGGTCAACCCAGACAGACAAGCTTCCAGGAAGAACCTCGACTACTCCCGACTATAAAGTAATAGTCGCATATGATATCTTCCTCTTCTCCAGGATGGGGATTCCTTAGCTGGGTCCCAACGTGGTCACGAACCGAGCAAGACTAGACTAAACTATATTTTCCGATCCATTGACCACTCGCCAGATGCTCCTACGGTAGCCGGTTATTCGGGACCAAGAGAGACGGGGATCATCGCTGTCCGTCAGGCGCGCAGTTATCTGGAACTTCGCCTCTAGCCCAAGCCACGCGAGTATTACCTATCAGTGGGGGAAAGACGCGTCGTTATGTTCCCCGTAGTGTATGCTTCTCCCCTCAAAAAGATCTCTCAAAGAGGCAACTGATACTCCAAACCCTCCCCCCCTCTCTACGCCTTACGCCAAAATGTCAACATCATAACATCATTTGCCCAGCTCGCATCGAATCCTCCTAAAATAGGCACAAGCTGCCATCCAATCGTAGAGCCAATGGCCGTCGCAACCCCTCATCTTGCTCTACGCTACGACGACGCCAAGCCAAGGTACTTTGCCCCAAGGCGGGCGCAACGCAACTGCAACCCCTCCTAGTGAGCCGCTCTTTCATGCAAAGCAGCGCATCAACAAGATCTTCCTTTGCCTGTTCCAGCATGGGATCTGTTGGTTTCGTTTCGTATTCTTCGGTGCGGCGAGGGTCGCATCGGAGACTTTTTTTTTTTGGGTTCTCCTAAATGTACGTAGGTACCTACATACATAAGTACTGCAGCTTTGGGATCGAGTGAGACCTGGCCCGTGCTGGGTAGTGTTTGTGTGTCCCACTGTCTCCCCGAGTCAGGTGAAGACAGAGAGAGACAAGTACTTAAACAATCTATCTATCTAGATACAGTTGCCATAGGTGTAAGTATTGTCTTTGTCTATGCTTTTCCCGGCGCTCGACCAAGACTTTGACGACTGCTTCCGAGCCGGCTTCACTTTTAGTAAACCGATCCAACGCTACTGGGATATTTACACTACCTACACTATTCTCCGGAGACAGAATCTGGCCATCTGTGGGGAGATTCCTTGTTCTCTCCCTTCCACGTTCCGCTAACTACCCAGAAACAATGTTGCAGCGCGTGATGTTACTGTGATGCGGGCAGGTATATAACCAGTTTTATATGGCAGAGCCCGGTACTGTGTAGGGAGAGAGAACTGGTACGCCGGCTTACTTAGTAGGTATGATGTGAGAAAACGTAGTGATGGGCTTTTCGACATGTGCCGTAGCGAGACGCACGGCACGCCCGACAAGCCCGGCAATGTGGTTGAATTCCTTTGAGACGTCTGTGCAGTCGGCCCATTTGACACCACGGGGACGCCCCAGATAGGCAATCGTACGTACAGTATCCTTCCGTATATACACATCACATTGCGTGAATGTTTGTCTCTTAGCCGTTGAGCTACCGTGGACTAAGTCACATAGGGCCGATGAAAAGAACCCGTTCGTGAACCCAAGTGGTGTGTGCGTTCTCCCTTGCCAGCTCTTATTTCTCACGGTGGAGTGCCACGGCGGGCAGTGCTGTGCCGAAACAACAGATCTCGGACTTGGATAGGGTATCTTTTTCTAGCACTCAACGTCAAGTTCGTCTCCCCCCCTCAGCTACATGTAATAGTTTGGGATCTTGGTTATGTTTGATCCTAAACGGCCGCCTGGCTCACTTGAAGAAATAAGAACATTGTAGTGCGTACATATAAACGCAAGTCTCGTTATTGTTGCTTCTTCCAGTACACTATCTAGCCGTGTGTCTATGAATTGTGCACAATATAGTAAGACCGGTATTATACGTAGCGTCGCAACGGTTTTGTTACCTGCTTCTTCTCTGGATAGCCACCATAGCAGATCTCGTGAGACTAAGGCTAAGGCGTCTTCTTTTGCGAAAATCCACCGACATACCAAAAAAAAAAAAAACTCTCCACAGTAGATTCCACACATTGACGTAAGGATACATTAGTTAGACATACAGTAGATAGCTGGCCTGCCTATTGGACGCCTTGTATTCCACGCTCGCAAGTCGCACAGTGATGAGACGAGACATTCCGGGCTTACATTGCATACATGGTTTCTCGGTATGGCCAAATATCTAAGACACGGAAGACCAGCACTGCTATGCTTATTGAGAATTTCTTTGAGACATTGATGTACAATAATACAATTTCACTCTGAGTTTCCGGCGAGGGGCTCTGTTTACTTACCCTTCTCCTTTCTTTGCTTCTCTTTCTTTTCTCTCGTCCGCGCTATCAGATAGGTATGGCACTTCTCTCATCCTACATCTAGAGCATGACTTACAGGATTGGGGTAACCAAGCTCCCTGCGTCTCCATTGGTTGACCGCAACAGGCGTTCGAGCAACCTTGCGCTCAGCGCGCAGCATAAGACCGGTTTACACAACATTGCAGCCTCTCTCTTTCATTTCTTTTTCTTTGTCGGACGGGCTTAAGCATCTTACATGCAAGTTGTCGATGTCTGTCTACTCGTGTGCGCTCTCGCTGACGGAAAGACCCTTTCACTGCCTGCCTCGTCTACGTAGGTACCACTCGACACGTGCCTCCAACATTTGCGTACGGCCGAAATGTCGACTTAGGTAGCAGCTCACAGCACGTAGGCAACGTACATACCTAGGCTTTCGACGGGTCTGTAGGTTGGCAGGCCTGGTACCATAGAGAGGATCGCCATGTGTCATTGTGCCACGCGACCAGTTGGGGATATCCTAGTAGCCAGAGACAATTCGGCTTCATGTGCTCTGCTTTGTAATGCTCTCTGTGCTCCCCGGAGGGGAGGGTCACCTGTCTCTCATTTTCCTCGTTTACCGAGCAGCCATGATGCGCCGTTGGAGAAGCGAGGTGGTTTGCTTTATACACACATACGTGTGTGTGCATATGTCGGCGTCATGCCGTCCGTCCCTTATATGTATTGCGACGTAGGCGCCTTCTGAGCCTCGGGGGACTCGGGCTCGAGCTTATTTTTATGTCTCCACGCTCTGTACTTTCGGGGGGCGCATGCATGCATCCTGTCAGCTGCCGACTCTTGAGCGGGCGTTCGGGTGCGTCGTTGTCTCCCTCGTCTCCAAATATCGGTGGCTGTGGTGGCGGTTCATCTGAATTTCTCGAGGCTGATACTTGAGAATCACGTGTAGGTATTGTACGGCATGGCTACGACGCTGATGCTTCTGGGTGTGTCTTCTTATATTGATCGCTCATTGCTGCCGTGTGCTTCGTGCTGCGCTGTAGATAAACGAACCAGATACAATGAGTGGCTCGATATGGCACTCATCTCCAGCTCAGTAGTATAGTCTTGGCCCAGCTTTAAACTTCTGCGCCAGTTTTCATGCGTCAAGTTGGAGCTGCCTCAATGCATATTACATCTTTCAGGGTCTCGAAGTTCACTGCAGTTTCATCGTTCATATATGCTCAGCTAATTATATATCGATGTCAGATCTCAGCGGGAGGCCCGTGAATTTGATACATCTCACATTCGGTAGCTAGAGTACATACATCATACATATTTCAATGTCTTCAATGTTAGCTTAGTACGAAAAGCAAGAATCCAGCAAGAATTGTTGCTAGTATAATATAGCCAAGGTAGAACCACTATATAACCACCAGACGACTGAAGGATAATAGGGTGTAGTTGAATTATAACTATGTATAATCGTGATCTGACCAAGATATAAGTACCGTATGTCTATGTGACCCGGCCAAGATCCAGGTTTGCCCCATGCTGTAGTAGTATCTGAACAATATTCTCATGGCCCTGACGTGATGCAGCCTGAAGAGCAGTTCCATATTGGCCATCTTCAGCGTTAACGTCTACGTCAAAATACAGTAGAAGTTCAACAATCCCTTCATGGCCGTGATATGCTGCAGCCTGAAGAGGATTGCCGTATTGTCCGCTAGCATTTCCTCTTAGAAGGAGCAATACTGCTACGGCAGTTGTTTGCCCACGAGCAGCAGCACAGGCCAATGCTGAACCAAGACATCTCTCAGCGTTAAGTTGATTAATATCTCTCAATTGTTTCAAGGGCCAATGTTGAGAGAGCCATTGAAGAAGAAGAAGCGTTGCGTAAGACGTTGGGTGCAATACGACCTCTTTGATGAAGGACTCGAATACTATGTATATGTCGTGTCCAGTATTACCTAAAGCGATGATATGTGTCATAAAATAAGCTATCGAGTAGATGAGTAGTGTGTTCCCGTCTAGATACGCCGTTACCAAGCCGATCTGTGAGAAGCCATCATCGGGTTCCATCCGCAAGATAGTTGCTCCAAACATGGTGCGAATGTTGGCGGAACACGCCAAAGAGATCAAGCGATCCCCCTGAATTTCGTCTAAATCATATGGTTTTGCGAAGCGGTCTCGGTGTACAAGGAATTCTCGAACTGTCTGATGTATGAGTTGGACCGTTTGAGTACCCATACTATCGCGAACCTATCACCTTTAGTAAGGCTTTTTGTGTCGTCGGGATAGGGATTCTCACTTCTAATAAACCCCCGCAGTACGATATAAGCCCCCGATCTAGCTCCCGTGGTCTATGTCGTTCGAGATCAAAGTCCAGCAAGTCCCTATTCTCTATTTGGAGAGGTGTTGCTAACATATCCTCGAGATATCTCAAAATTAAAGGTATCCTAGAGAAAGTGACCCATGAAAGTATTGTTCTCGTCTGTCTTCGCTGATCTTCCTTGTCATCTTCATCGAGACTTTCATTCTCTTGATGCCTCAGCAAAGATTGCACAATTTCGTGATAAAAGCCATCTGGCCCACCGAGCTCCTTGGGGAGTTTGCGTACACGCTTCTCAAGAGCTTCTGGCGTGTATGCACCCCTACGAATCAGGTTATCAAGATTTCTCAAGACTAAACTGACCCAGAGAAATACACCGTCGGCGGTTTCGATAATGTAGTCCCTGGCCCCTCTAAAGTCACCTGGACATTGGCTTTCTTCAGAAGATGGCGGTTCATCTTTAATAGGATCCTCTTTGCTCTGATTTTCGAGTCTCTCGAACCATCTCGAGATCACCTTCAAGATGTCTCCCTTGTTTTCATATTGGAGAATGATGTGGCGGGATTTATGGACGTTTAAATTAATATCAGTCTCTGGCCTGCTCGCGATCAGTACTTTCATAACGCACTTACTCGTCTGGCTAGAAAGTGTTCGCAGGAAATTGAGTAGATCGCTCCGTCTAGCATTATCCGACTCGTCCATTCCATCAGCGACCAATAAAATGCGCAATGGGAAGTCGACCTGGTGTAGACACTGCAAAGCAGACTTTAGGTCATCGTATTTCCATAATTGGTGGGGCATTGAATGATCATCGGCTCTCGATTTCAGTCGCCGATAGGTCTCTCTCAAAAGAGGGAATAGTCTCTTGTCTTTGCTCCATATCTGATAGACGATAGAGCGAAGCATTAGCTCGTGGCTCATCTCAGTAAATCCACCCCGAAAATTATAATAGAAGGCTGCTATTATAGTGGTCTTGTAATGGTCCGCGTTCATGTCGCCCGGGATGTCGTATTCATCGCGCCATTTTTGGACAATTCGTTTTGCTAACGTCGACTTGCCACTTCCTGGCTTACCCTCTATCCAAAGTGAATCAGAGTTAGGATTTTCAATCCATTTCAGATACTCTTTATGGGATGAAAGCCAATCTCCTCCTTGGTCAACGTCGCCGATGCGCGTCTCACGGGCATTCCACTCCTTAAAGTAGAGGGTTCGAAGACATTCTGTCAATTGACTAAGTACTCAAAACAACTTTCAGTTTCGCTAAGCTAGGTCTCACCATTTCTCTCCCTTTCCATGCTTGTGGAAGACTCAAGCGCTTCACCACCTACGTTTGCGCTGAGGGGTTGTATCCACCTTTGGAGCTCCCGCCTAACTTGATGGTATCCATCATCATTTGAATCTCGGAATTTTGCCATGTCCTATAGCCGTTAGACAGGAAGGAGAGCATAATTATTGAGGAATTACCATGTGGTTTGCATTAATAGACTGGGTTGGCCATCCAGGGATTGTTGCTGAATCCGGTTTGACCACCATTCCAACACCTAAAAGCTCCAACGTCTCATAAAAACAGCTTAATGCAAATCGTCCGCTAGTTTTCCTTAGCCAATTTGAAAAGCTATCCTCTACTGAGGCTAGCACTTGTGATTCTCTTTTAAACACATCCAGGATCTTGGAGTTGGCTCTGATCCCGGCGCTCCTCACAATGTTGATTATGGCTGTGGTAAAGGAAGCCACATCTGCGCCTCTATGAGGTGTCCCTAGAAATACAACACCTATAGTGTCTCGTTCCATACGTCTTAAGTGTATATCGGCCGATGCTTCGGACAGGGCGAGGGCGCGTTTCACCACAAGACCACCAAGGCTATGCGCGACGAAGATAATCTTTCGCGGGATCTGAATTCGGAATTGTGAGTAAGGGGTAGGAAGCTTACACTTTGATAACTTACAGAGTTAGTTCCAGAGTTGTCATTACCCAAGGCGTTGACTAAGTTCGAGGCATGGCCTTGTAGGGTGTTCTGCCCTACTGGGCCGAAGAAGGTAGCAACGTCTGCGTCGTATCCGAAGCTCAAGATGCGCGCGTTAGGAATGTCATTTGGGAGGAGATCTGCGGGCCAGTATGTGCCTGAACGTCCATGAACGAATGTTTTATCAGCACGACCATTTAGTCCGTGAAGAAACACGATGTCAACGATCGCATCTTCAGGCACATGGACGTCCCTGAGACCGTAGATGTTGTTGTCTGGAAACAACCTTTGAACTGAGGAACTTGCTGTGTTTTTCCCACCACCTGGTGCGTTCTCAGAGATATGTTGTTCGTCTTTCCGCCCTAGGCGAAACGGTCGCCCGAACCGCTTCTTGAATGACTCCATCAATTTGCGATGAATTGGTTGGGCGATGGGATACAGAAAACATTACGAAACCCAGCAGCTGCAATTGCATTCCACAATCAAATGAATCGATATAGGGAAAGAGGCTACAATGAATGAAGACATGACACTGACTTGTATTGAATCATCCATCGGGCAGAGTAGCCTGCCTGATGGATAAGCCACATCACACCCTACCAGGTTGTTACCCCGCATCATTAAAGGTATCATGATTGATATATTGATACTACGCAGTAGAGCTGGAAAGAGGCATATCGTTCTCAGCAAGTATTTAGCGATAAGAGTGACTATAGGTGGTATTGCCCGGCTACCGATGGCTAGATTATCAACCGAGTGAATGCCTCCAAACGCTGACGGAAGGGGCCGTGTAGTATTTTCATCAGAGAAGTGAATCCTCCCGTCTGTGCTTCTATGATACATATTTGGGTGCCCATTGATTCGACTGGGGGGAATCTTCATGTCACTTGACGAGGACATGCATTGCATATCATCCTCTAGGTATACTTCGGAAACTTAACCAAGTCCCTGATCAGTTGAAACTCACCTAATCAATATCAACACAGCCCGCTAAAATCTTTCTATTTTGGTATTCATGGAGTGATCCTGAACTTGTAAACTGTAGGCAAGATGCAGTAAGGCAATTGGGTATCAAGACAAATTGTAGAAAAGGACGACAATAGAGCTCTTAGAGAGAGAGAGAGAGAGTGTGTGTGTGTAATGGCCTTCAAAAAGCGCCAACTCCAATATGTACAAAGCCAGGACATAATAGACATCTCAAAACCTCACAGATATATCTCCATGATCTGTAAAACTGAATACCTACCTACATGCCTACCTAGGTAGCCTTAACAAACGTGCAATTCTCGTGTGGCGTGCTGAACCTCAGAAGTTACATAAGATAATGACGTCGGGTACATGTTATCAGATAAATGGTAACAACGCGAACGCATCTCGTTAAATAATCGTAGCACGCAACTACAGCTTGGTTAACTCAGTAGGCATTACAAACACAGATTGGACCGAACCCAAGTAGAGATATTGGCTTGATCGGAGTCAAGATAAAACTAACCCTACAGATATTGAAAGTACTTGGGTAGGTACCTCCACGTGCTTGTTCCTGGCGCTCCTGGATGGATGGACCCATAATAGAGGGGCACAGGAGGGGCTTTAAGGTACAACCACCTACTAGGTACGGGTAGAGATATCGCAATGGAGGGGCAGATGAACGTGCTGGCGATATTGATTTTTTTCTTGTGAGATTTCGATAGAGCGCTCTTTGCCAAATATAATAGAAAGATTAAGTCAACAGCTTCTACTATCATTGCCTATATAGTCAACCGAATTTGACGAGCCACTTCGTACGACAACCATGTCAGATCTTCCACAAACCTTTGACCGTGCGTGCCAACCTACCGGTAGATGTTCTGCTCGTCTCCTTGAGCAAGCTCATTGGGCTTCATCGCGACAAGCCTGGTGCTAACACTCATCCCTACCCTATAGGACCGGTCAAGATCGCCGTCATCGGCGGCACAGGCCTCTACAAGATCGATGGCTACGTCCCCATAGGCCGCGTGAATCCCCTGACGCCATGGGGCTATCCCTCCGCCCCCATCGAGATCCTCGAGCACGGAGGCGTCCCAGTCGCGTTCCTGGCCCGTCACGGCGAACACCACCAGATTGCGCCTCACGAGATCCCCGCACGCGCCAACATCGCCGCCCTGCGGTCCCTGGGCGTGCGTTCCGTCGTCAGCTTCTCCGCCGTCGGCTCCCTGCAGGAGGAGGTCCGGCCCATGGACTTCGTGGTGCCGGACCAAGTCATCGACCGCACCAAGGGGAACCGGCCCTTCACGTTCTTCGAGGATGGCCTCGTCGGCCACGTCCCCTTCGCCGACCCCTACGACGACAAGATCGCGCAAGTTGTCAGGAAATGCGCCAAGAGCATGCAAGGCGACGGGGTGGTGCTGCACCCTAAGGGAACAGCCATCTGCATCGGTAAGCTATTCGCATATCTATATAAAAGTAGAATTAAGAGCTATACTAACACTCTGCACAGAGGGCCCTCAATTCTCCACCCGCGCCGAATCGCACATGTACCGCTCATGGGGCGGCTCCGTAATCAGCATGTCCCTGCTCCCCGAAGCCAAGCTCGCGCGTGAGGCCGAGCTCGCCTTCCAGGTCATCTGCATGGCGACTGACTACGATTGCTGGCGCGAGGGCGAGGGCGACGTCGACGTTGCCATGGTGATGGCGCGCATGGGCGGCAACGCCGAGAACGCTCGACGGCTCGTTGGTGCCGTGCTAGACGAGCTATCACGTCCCGAGAACGCCGACCTCGTCTCGGCTAAGCACCTCGAGGGTGCATCCGTCGGCGCCGTCGCTTTCTGCACCAAGCCTGCTGGCCGCAATCCCGAGGCTCTGAAGAGAGCGCAATATCTGTTCCCAGGATTCTTGGAGCAGTAGAAAATGCTACAGGATTATCAGAGCCAGTTATGACAATACATGACCGATGATGGCTTCTTAGTCAACTTCTTTTGCTGAAAGTAACAAAGGACAGGTGAGCTATATGATTGACTAGGGTGATAGAGGAATCTTGGGGAGAACAGATCGAAGTGGAAGGGTTCGTGTGCAAATACTCCGTATCTATAGATCTGAGCGATTTAAACGATAAATCGTTGGGGTTTGCGAAGCCATTACTACAACGATTTCTAGACACCACAATAAATCTTGGTAAGGGTAGAAGTAATGGTTATTCATCAAGATTCTCTTGATATGCTGTGTTGTCTATCATTCCACGCTAATGCCACCCGCAATGCAGAGCCATATACATATTAATGCGCGTGCACTCCTTTTCTCGTTCATCATCCTATCATACACAATGCATCTGTTACATCAGCATGTACAATGCTCTGACGCCCTTTTCAGCAGCGGCGATGTGCCACGGCCGTATATCGGTGTCTTTATCTATCATACCCCGGGTCCGGGCAAGTGTGCCCAGACCTCGGTAATATGTAAGCATTTCCCGCAGGAGGGCCTCATATGCTCTAGGGTTGTTCTCGCTGTGAACAATGTTAACCTCCATGACGATCGGTGGGTCTTCCACCCGTACTCCTGAGCGCTTCACGAGGTATCCACTGACAAGGACCGGGTTTGGGTCCGTTAAGGATACCGAAGACTGTAGTCTATGCGATAAAATAACACCCCACGTTTGGTCAGTAGTGTCTGTCAGGGTGGCATCAATATCTGAGTCCGTTGCGTTATTGTCGCCGCCCGGTGTCTGCCCGCTCGTTGTAGCATTGTCCCGGAACGGGGTTGTGGCATTACCGCTCTGCTCTGGAGACACTGTTGCCCCTTGTGGGGTCGATCCAGGGGTAGTATAGAGGATGGAGGTAGCGTTGTTTGGTATTTTGGCTGCTGGGGGGAGTAATTGTAGAGATGGATCAGTGTCAACCGTGACTAGAGTCAAGTTGATGCCAGATTTGGGATCTGGTTGTACCAGGCTAGACCACAGTTCAATCTCATGGATATCCATTACGCCGCATTTAGCCACTATGATGCGCCAGTTGACTTTCCAAGAGGAGATGAGTTCTCGGGTGGTCGACCATATCTCATGAATAACGTCCGCCAAGGGTGTGGCTATATTTTTCCCTTTCCTTCCCAGACAGTACGATGTGGTCATTTGCTGGCTACCCCTATTGTCTGTCCATGCCACCGTGATCCACCTTTCGTCTATGCTTTGAGCATACCCGAGATGGAGGCATGAATTCTCATGCAACACAGATGTTGAAGGCGTTGGGTTCAATTTGAAGTCAATCATTCGAGGTAGAGCTTGCTCAAGCATGATAGCCGGGGATGGCATAGCGCCACCAAAAATTGTGCATCTGTCGTAGATTTCAAGTGCAAGTTTTGATAAATCCGATGGCGATGGCATAGGAACCGAACTGGATGATGCAACTAGGTTTTGGGGTATCAATTGAAGAGCCATTTCGTTCACAAAGGGCAGTTTCTTGTTAGTTAGGATTCTCTTATAACCTTCAAAAATCTCGTTAAAGGCAGCGCAACATTCGACTATCGACCCTGGAACATCTGGTGTGTAAACAAAGAAGATCACAAAATTCATCTGCTCAGCCGAAACGGTCGAGAGTGCTTTGCACACTCTCGATGCACAGCTCTGAAGAGATGGCCCTAAGAAAGACGTGGTTTTGCCGAACGAAATAACCTCTTTCTCGAGGTCGAACGGAAATAAACCGTCCTCGTCACCAGACGGCGTCGATAATCTGCTGAATGAACCCAGCTTGAAGGACTCGTAGGTACTTCGCATTCTGTCTGTGAATACTGAAATACTGTCCGAAACACCTTCTTGATTGGGGAAAAGACAAATTGCATTAATATCTTTCGTGCCGTGCGTAGGGCTTAAGCCCAAGCTTTCCCAAAATGATATAGATGAAGGTAGAACGGATAGCCTAGATTCATAACGCCGCATCTCGAACCGAGGGGAGGGAATTTGAAAGATATTACTTGGCTTAATGTGGTCTGAACCTGGCGGCCTTGGTTGTAATCGAGTAGGTTGACCCAGGAGAGGGACATCTGGGAGTTCAATAAACGAACGCAACTGATGGCCTGTGGTGGACTGGAAATAAACAGGGAAGCCTTGCTGAAGCTCCTTTATTGCGTTACGTGTTATGTTGGAGAGATGACGGCGTCGATCTACTCCCGAATGAAGCGGAGAATCAGTGACTGTGCCTGATAGTAGTGTACTAGCCGTGACTTGATCAGTTAAGATCTGTGCGGCCATGATGAATTGGTCATCTGGTAACGAATATTGAACCCAGGCAGGTTCGGGATCCGCAAAATACTTGGTCAGCGGTATGTCAATTTCATACTTCGAGTTTCGCGACAGCTCAAAAGGTAGATGGGGGGCTGCAGCATCCATCATTTCTAAATCTTTGAATGAGGTAGCTAGCGAGTCACCGTCATCATCACCGCGGCGGCGTCGAATACTTGACGACTTCACTGGGGACGGAGGCTCGTCACTGTCATAACTTGAATCATCTTGATCAGACATTAGACTCATATCATCCGCATCTGAATGAGGGGCATCGAGATGCTGAGGACTAGGACGATTGGAAGCCGAGTTCTGATTGCCTCGCATACGGATGAGCAGCTCACCATATGCCATTGGCAGCTCTTTGAGATTTTTTCGGCCCTTACCATGGCGCCGAAGATAGTCGGTTGTTGCGGGTGTCTCGAGGTTGGAAGGTCTAGTTGCCTTCGATTGGTTCATAGAAAAGTCGAACCGTCCACTTCCCTCATACTTACTATTGACCAATGAAAGACCTGGCCCGAAATCTACCTTATCAAATATACTATTATGGTTTGCGTAAACTAGTGAGTTCTGCTGTGTAGCCTTATGATTGTCAAGAGATGCTCGGATCCTCTTATAGACCGTGTCTGGATTGAATGGACTTGCAGGTCTTTTGATCATTGCGTTGCTTGTTTGGTTCACGTCTGAGACAGGTCGACGCGGTTCATCACCCAATGAGCTCCGAGCGTGTCGAAGCTCTGGCTTTGCGAACGTGGGCGTAAGCTCAGAGGCAGATATGTGCGGCGGGTCCATTTTATTAGGAGGCACCTGACTTGCTGCCAGACTAACATCGAGACTAGGAGTGGCATTAGCATTAGGAACAGTGGCCAGATCTAAAGAGGTCAAATCTATATTGCCGTCGGGCTGTTGGTCGAAGAAACTGAAGTCCGCCTCTGTGATATCGTTATCTCCAAACATATCTGGGCCCAGCTCGCCAAAGAGGTTTTCCGATTCGAATGAAGTACCGGCGCGCTCTCGTTTGATTTCTGTGCTCTCCCAGTTTTCGCCATATAACTCTGCCGGTGGATGCGATGCAGCATCCATCTCGGCCATGTTTGGAGCAGTAAGATTATTACTAGGGCTGGAGAGGGTACCGTCCATCGATGGCGTAACGCCTATAACCCCTTGAGGTGGTGTTGGGTACATTGTACTCCCTAGGATGCCGCTTTGGGTAGGCCGGTGTGAGGCAAGAGGAGATAAACTATTAGAGATCTGAACCTGCTGCTCTGGAAGCGCCCCTTCTTGTACTGCTAGAGTATCTCTTTCTTTCTTCTTTTGACTGATTATTGCCTCTCGTTCAGCACTGCTGGAAAACCACGTCTTTGCAGCAGTAAGGGGGTCAAAACTCTTCTCCAGCTGAGATCCAATCAGCTCCTCAGATCCGTTCATCGATAAATTTGTGAGCGTTTTGCAGAAGCATAAATTTGCGGGCCAGCGTATGTTGGGAGCGGTGCCCATCATTGGAGTTCGTTTCCCATCGCTATTCTGTTCAACTAGTTTTCGCCGCAAGCGCTGAAGTCCCACAAATTTCTGTGATGCCTTCGCTGATAAGGAGGCTGTTCGAGACTGTATCAATCTCGAGCATAGATTTCTCCAGGGCCCCTCGTCTCTCTCATGTCTAAAGCGATGTTGGGTGTCTGGAGACTGGCCAAGACTTGCATCCGTAGTAGTTGCCTCAGTCAAGCTATATAGATGACAGGTTGCAAACATTCCTAAAGGGGCTGCCAGAACGGTAACTCCCAATGGTGGCAGCTGGCTAGTAATGTTTTCGGACAATGTAATGAGGCTATTGGCGAAAGAGTGGCTCAGACTAACTATTAGGCACCCGGTTGTTGTGAGATATATCCGTAATGATGCAAGGATTGGTGTGGAGGTGCTGCATTCGGTCTGATCGACTGCTGGTAAGAGTAGTGTCCGGGATGTCAGAGGTACAGCACCAGTCTTTGCAGAGAGGCATGACGTTATCGCGGAATATGAAGCCTGGAGGAGGCACTCATAGACATCTCGGACTGATGTAGAAGAACTCATTTTTGAGTCTGACGACCCGACGGTCTTGCCATCCGATTCGGCGACAGATCCCGGAAAGGATGGAGTTGTGGCAGACTGGGCGCTACGAAAGGCTGCGTCCAGAGCGGAGGAAGCGCTCGAGGACGAGCTACTTGGTGTGTTAGCTGCATTATGACCGTAGAATCGGTGTTTGACTAGCGCAGCTGGCTCGAATGTCCCCTCCTCGGTAACGCTTAGCATGAATCCAGCGCTTTCAACGTTCCGCTCGAAATACGGAGTATCGACCAAATCGGTAGAAGACTTGCCCTTGATCACAAGACGAAAGCACCACAACCCCCTTCGACTAGCATCCAGAAACGCGAGATATCCATCCTTACGAAAAGCGGCCTCGATTTCATTGCCACCAGAGCTGAAGAGTGTGGATGAGGAAGAAGCCGCGGGTTCATAGAAGGCGAAGGTAATGGTTGAGATGTTACTCTGTAGCGCACGAGGGACTGTTAGCATGCTGGTAGGAGCAAGAGTCAAAGGTGGTCACGCAGTCATACAACAACTAAAGTATTAGTTTCATAGTCGCCAGTGTCCATGTCGTATCTTGTGACGGCGGAATCGGTCGGTCAGCCCTGTGCGGCCACGGTGCAGCTCGACTTGTGAGTGCGGCTAGCGGAGGATGCGGATGGTTTGAAAGCCAGCTCCGAGATATTCCAAGGTGTTAGAGGTTGTACGTCGCCAGCACGCGCTAGACTCCATGTCTATCGCTGGAGGGACAACGGCGAGACTACGACGATGGCGAGCGAACGCGGGACAGTGGCAAGCCAGGTAAGCTATGTCGCGACGGAGCGCAGGACACGAAGCTCCTCGGGAACAGGTCGGCTGTTTCCAAAGCGTCGGATTAAGGTATTGCTTGTTTTTATAGCTTGACGGGATAGACAAGAAGATGACAAGTCCTTGGTATTGCTATCTTAGGTAAGGTACCTACTTTGGGAGTCGAAGGAAGATACATAACAGTAAGTGAGGTTCAGCCTCAAGGGCGAGGTTCCATATCCTATACACGCTGGACATCTCCGCTCTGCTTGACACCATACGTACTCAAGTATCTTTACATGTAAAAGGAGTGCGCTAGTACTTATCGCCACCCCCTGTTCCTACTTATATCGTGGTACCTACCCAGGATGTACCCTCAAAAGCGGGCTAGCGAGTACTTAGGTGCGCATTTGCTGGGGTACCTGGACCATGACATCCAATGTTCCACCTCATATGTACCTACGTAGTAGGACCGCGCTACTGCTGTACCGGTATCAGTCTGGCGCTTCAGAGAGCGAGGTATGCGTAGTTTAGCGCGTCAGTAGATCAGTAGAGGTATCACTTATCGATACAAGCCCCACTGTATTTTCTCATTCGCTGCCTCCAATCGTGATGCTTGGAGCAGCCTATCTCACTTTGTCATCGTTCTTTTCATGCTCTTCTAACCAACCCTCTAAGAAAGTCGTGGCCCAGGATGCATGTTCAACAAGGCGACGTACCGGTGTACACGGTGGCAGGCGCCAATACCGCGAGGCCACTCCCAGACTGGCTTGCTCGACGGAGGAAGCGTAGCTTGAAGGCCGACCCCGAATATCAGAATCGCATAGAGCTCTTGCAAGACTTTTCCTTTGAGGAAGCGAGTGCTTGTGTCAGGGTTTCTGAAGACAACAATTGGATTGTTTCAACTGGAACATACAAGCCCCAGATTCATGTTCACTATCTCCCACACCTTTCCTTATCATACGCGCGGCACACAACGAGTCTCAACGTCAAGTTTTCCCTGCTCTCGACGGATGCCTCCAAATCGCTACACTTACAAAGTGACCGACGGGTCGAACTACACACACCAGCCGGCCTTCATGAGGCCATAAAACTACCTCGATACGGCCGAGATCTTTGTTATGACCGTTTAACGACGGAGGCGCTGATTGGGTCTGTCGGCTTAGGTCCAGAGGGTCATGGAGAGGTCTTCAGATTCAATCTTGAAGCTGGAAGATTCATGCAATCTTATAGGGTAGATGTAGGGGGTGACAGCGGTTCCGAAGTAGGACTACAGGGTAGCAGTATGTGCTTGAAGTCTGCAATTTCTTTTTACACAGACCTAGGACTTGTATCTCGTGGCCTTGCTGGTTCCCTAATATCAGTGCGCATTGCTAATTTGCATCGCTGTTTAGTTTGGGCACCGGCCGTCAATTCTATAGCGATTGCGGAAAATGCACACAATCTTCTCGCATTCGGCACTTCCGTTGGCTCTGTCGAGGTAATTATCATCTGGAGTTTCGTCTATAGGAAGCTGCTAATGCGCGATGAATAGTTTTGGGACCCCCGTTCTCGGTCTCGCATCGCCGTCTTAGGTGGTCAGGAGGGTGAAATTACTGCTCTTGATTTCAACGACTCGGGGCTCTCAATAGCTACGGGAAGCTCTTCCGGCGTAGTAAAGCTTTTCGACATGCGAAGTCCAAAGCCTCTCTGGCAGAAAGACCACGGTAGCGGATTCCCGATCAAGAACCTCATACATATGACGACTTCTTCCTCAGAACGCAAGATATTGTCTAGCGACAAACAACTCATAAAGATCAACGAGGAAACTTCTGGACAGACATGGACTAGCATTGAGCCCATCGTTGATCTAAATTTTACTACTTGGGTCAAAGGAACTGGGATGATTCTCACGGCCAACGAAGGCCAGGCGATGCATGCTTTCTTGATCCCTCAATTAGGTAATGCACCACGGTGGGCCGGGCATCTCGATTCTCTCACAGAGGAGATGGCAAGCGAAGTAACAACGGATAACTACGAAAACTACAAGTTCTTGACGTTGCCCGAGTTAAGGTCTCTCAGTATGGACCATTTAATCGGCAAAACCAATCTGTTACGGCCCTATATGCACGGCTATTTCGTTGCTTCAAAACTATACGAGCAAGCCCGACTTATTGCCAATCCCTTCGCTTTCGAAGAGGAGCGCGCCAAGCGTATCAAAGAGAAGGTTGAGAAGGAACGTGCTAGTCGCATTCGCGGCAACAAGAAGGTCAAGGTTAACCAGAGACTCGTCAACAAATTGCTCAAGAAACAAGAGAAGAGAGCTACTGTCGACCCGAATGCTGGCATTCTTGGTGATGAGCGTTTCAGCCGGATGTTTGAGAATGAAGAGTTCCAAATTGATGAAAACAGCCGAGAGTTCAAGGCGCTCAACCCAAGCACACAAGTTGACCCTGAAACAGGCAAGGCAGCTCGCCCAGTAACCTCATTCTCGGAAGAAAGTGATGTGGGTAGTGAGAGCAGCAGTGATGAGAGCGATGATTCTGAGGGCACGCCTCAGACAGCCCAAAGAGACTCGGTTGTTATGCGTGTTAGTTCTTCGAATCGAGAGGGTGGTGGGCGGGACCGTGATACGGCGTTTGGGTCTAGGACTCAAAAACAGAATCGTCCCGCCAAGGCTAGAGGGCGTGATGTAGTTGGTGATAAGGAAATCACGTTTGCGCCAGAGCCGAAAATGAAAGAGAAGAGGGACGAGCCTACAACATCAGAAGCAGAGAAGCGGACTAAGGCTAGGCGCAGTGCCAGTGGAAACGTTCTAAGGCGAATATGATAGTCCGTTATCCGATTGAAAAAAAAAAAAAAAGTACAAATTATTAGCACAGTCAATAGCCAACTCCATTTCTCGCGACCTAGGCGTTGGAGACTAAATCATGATACCCATCTATCAATTCCCGTTGATTTCTTTGGCCCACCGCTCCAGGCGCATTTGTAGCTGATTTATTTTCTCGTCCACTTGTTGCCCCGCCCTTCAGGACTTTGTCGGACAGTCGATTTGGCCAACCCCTTCTCAATATCCTCAGGGCGAAGTCTTGGGGTTGGGGGTACGTCTTCCAAGCGAACACGTCCCCGAGATGATCTGCCGGATGACTCTTTGACGGATTTTGGAAATTCTGATCGACGAGGTGTCAATGCGGTCACTACCTTTCTCGCTGACCGCCTGATGCTCTCCCGAACTTTCCACTCCCTCTTCTTAGCCAGGTAGAAAAGGACAGCAGTTGAGACTGTGCGAGGTCAGATATTGGGTGCTTCATCAAGGGTTCATCATATACTCACTACCGCCAACGACAACGACTGCCACCACGACAATTATAGCAATCAAAGCACCGTGTGAGAGCTGAGCTGCCCCAGGACTTGCACCTGCTGCTCCAGCTGCATCATCTACAGCGCCTCCCGGGGTACTGCCTCCCGGGTATGGGTCTTCTGTCGACAGAGGGAAGTCGGCGGTGCTCGTGGCCATTGCGAATGCTACGAACTAGCGTGATGAAGCTGTACTAAGTATTGGTGATCTAGTTTTGTATATGAGGGCACTACCCCACGATGCCAAACTCTTGTATGACCAAGGTCTGAATTGCAAAAATAATAATAATGAGATAATGACTGAGCAGCTTTCAAACGATCCAGAGTGCCGGCAGCACCTTATGAGTCCCTCCTACACGGCGGGGTCAAGAGCAGTCTCGTAATCTCAGGAGTGTATATTGTAAAAGATGTGACGGGATGTGATGAAATGTGCCAGCAGACTTCCTAACCTAGTAAATGTAGGGAAAGGTAGGTATGTATAGATTGATATCAGGACGTCTCATGCACATTCTGACAGGTGCCGGCCCCAGACCCCCATTGGACCTGCAGGTATGTACCGGGCCTCTGAAACCAGGTCATAAAAGCTGCTCTATTCTCGTCGTGGTCGATGCCATTGGTGCTTGCGACTCTGGAAGCGCCCAGCTAACCGGCGCTTCCACGCTTGTTCCTGATGTTGGGCCAATCAGACCCCTGCAACTAGGGTGCTCTGTCTTGGCCTGTCGCCCAAAGCACAGCTCGAGAGCCATTCCGTCACATCTGTCGCTGCACCATGATTGTTTGTCACGACTTTTGACTGGCGTGATGAGTTTTGTCCCATGTCAATGTATAATGTATTCGTACTACCTAGGTAGATCCGAAAGCTTTCCAGGCTTATCTTGTCTTCGATGGTCGTTCACATGGGTATCTTATACCATCCCCAGACGTATACTTGAAAGGGTGGTAATCTGGCCGTGAATTGATCGCCAACAGCTGCCCTTACTCCAACTTCACTTATCAGTTCAACGATAGAGTTTGCCAAGTGCAAGTCTGCTCAGAGAAGCGAGGAAGAGATTTAGATGGACGAATGCATTACACTTCAGTCGTGGCTCTTCGGCCGCCTGGCAGACCTTACCGCCTCATCTACCGCCCGGCACCCGGAAATGTAAGATTGAAGATGGGCGCCGACGTCGCGTATCTATGCATCCGTGGGTATTAATAGAAGATGGCCCAAACGCAGACCTGGAGAATACCTATAGGTGCGGTGAAAGTGTCAAGCAGGGCCCGACATGACGAATGATTGGTTCTGGCCCCAATAAGCCCCAATTGCTTTGCGCCAGGTAAATAGATACGCGAGTTTCGTAATGCCTGTAAATGCCATTCGCAACATGATCAAACCGACATGCTGTATGTCATTTCCCAATGAAGATTTCCTTTTCCGACAGAAATCATGATATGTACTATGCAGTACCCCCTTCCATAGACTCAACCTCTAGCCAAGCACTAGGTACACTATGTGCCGCAGAGACAAGATCGCCATTTTCCTGTGTGTTGCTGGCCGCTCACTCGCTTCGGACACTCAATGTCCGGTACGGAGTGACCTATGTAGCACAACTTGATCTAAACACATGTATAATGCATATATTGATAAGCATAGGTTTCCTGATAGTCGATCAATTCACCTGTCACGTCTTGCCATAATCTCTAGGTAATTTATAGTACCATTTTATGTCTTCTTTGTATTTCGTGGGCACAGTGAGTCCCGGACAATCTGAACGGTCATGTTTGCTGCCTTTTGCAATTAAACTCACAGGGCTTGGATTATCTTTTTCAATATTATTCATCATAGATCTATAAAACTAGTGATATCAAGGCTTCAGGCCTATAAGTCGACATGGATTCAGCCTCAGGAGGCTCTTCCCCTAAATTATCCTATACCACTTACTTAGGTCAGAAAAGGGGGCGTTAGCGGCTTGAACGAGGTCTTCTGTTTCCCTAGCACTTATATATAATAACCATACAATAGACTTGCATAGAGAGTAGCAAGAGATCCAATACCCATCGAAATTATCTACTAATGGCTACACTTGCTAGAGCCTCACCTAAGACTACATTGCCAATCGTAAATATCACAAGGATTCGTTTGAAATCACCTGTCGACATCCAGTAACACGAAATCTGCAGTACTGCTCTACCAGCTATGTCCAATACCACACACGTAGGTATTTCACTGGGAGCAAACGAAATAGGCTACGCCTTTCCCCCATATGATAGTCGTGCATGGCGTGAAAGAAGGTTGCAGCACAAGAAATCAGCCTTGGAAGACGGTTTCCATGTATTGTTCTGTTTAGGTACCATGTACGTTAGGTATCTTCGCAAGTACTACGCCTCTGCTACGACTTCACATCAACTTGTAGGAAGGCACGGTCCATGTGAACTACAATAGATGACGCGCTTGCCATAAGGGAAGTCACAGGGCCTACAACTTGGGAACCACACTCAACCCTTCCTTCAACCTCTCTTCCCACTTAAGAGCCCCCAAATATTTTCATTCTCGTGGGTCACACAATCCAAGGAATGTGGCACTGTAGTCTATCCAGCACGTCAGTCTGATCGTGAATTTACGTTAAGTGCGCTCGCCTTGAGACCACACCAAGCCTTAGGGCGCCGTCCCCCAGCTACCTTCAAATTCGCTAACGTGGCAACAATATTCTACCGAGGAGCTTCTACATACTTTATTGAACCATTGCCCTTGTTCGTACCATTTCTGTAGAACCGTATCATTCCACACGCTGCTTCCCCATCTCGTTATGATGGCAACTCAATCAAGTCCAAGATCACAACATTCTGAGCACTTCAAGAGTCAGCCATATTCTCAGGAGTCTACCACTATCAAGCGGAATTTTCTAGAGCCGCTTGAAGATTCACAGGAGACGCATGTCGCATCAAATTGGGACAATGACTTTCTCGTCCCCGTTGAAAATGCACAGGACACACAGGACCTCATACCTGAATGGCGCAATGACTCCTGTAGTCATGTAGTAAACATGGTAGGTCAACCAAAACAGCCTAATACAAGTCATTTCATCAGTCGCCCTTTGTTTGAGAGCCCCTCAAATTTTCAACATGGGTTTCAGTACAGCAAAGCCCCGGCACCCCAAAAGCTACTAAGTCGACTGAATCTGCCTCGGGATGGCGTGGGTAGTCAGGCAAACTCAAAGACGGAAAGCGAATGCCCTTTGACGACAATGCATCACTCTCCTCGTGAAACGGATTCAGAGACTATGAAGGCTACCTCCAATGATTCAACAGATTCGCATAGAGTAAAGGACAAGGTTATCGAGACAAAATCAAATGGGAATATGAATGAGAATAGTGAAAATTTAATTCCTAATAAGCCTCCTTCCGAATCTGCCCAAGCTACGAATGAGCAGCCTGACGAGAGAAACGCACGAGCTATAGCGTTGAGATCATCAGTTCAGCATCATTCTCCTTCACACGGCGTGTTGGCTCCTTTCCAACGGGTCAAGGCTCGTGTCAACTCACCAACGAGCAGGAGCCCTAGGTTGCCCAAGGGGTTCGCAGCTATTCAGCGTAAAGCTCTCATTCAATCGAATCATACGAATCGTTTGTATCCGCCAACAATCCGCCAGAAACCACATGTCATCAAAGGCTCACCGGGATTTGATCCGCCTGGGGCACAACAGCATGCAGCATCAATACCTGAGACCTCTTATATGCGAAGAGGACAACACCAAGCGCAGCCTACTGGAAGTAATGCTTCTGACCGTTCTCTACATAGCGCTGTTGTGGAAGCTCCATCTGCAAATCAGCGCGACTTTGTCCAAACAACATATTCATCTACTCAGGAGACACGGAAGGACTGTAATCTGTTTCCGAGACCTGTGTCACAAGCTTCCAATATCTCCAAGATACGAGCCCCTAGAGAGAGGGAGCAGAAAGGGACCCGTAGACATCAGAATGATCGTGGTATCGCAGGAGGTAGTACATTTCGTGAACTCACTGAAGCGTGGAACCGACACTTTACTCATGAGACCAAGCGCAATGCGCATTGGCAGGATAAAATGGACGACATGGTTGCACAACTTTCTGAGCGAGATGAGAAAGCTGCAGAGTACCTTGAACGAATCCAAATCCAAGACCAGATTATCGCCGACCTCGAAAGCGCGAAAGAGCAAGACTTGGCCAGACAGCGGGAGCAAGAAGCTGCCATCACTGAGTTGGACGGGCAACGCGAAAGGCTACGAGAAAAGATGAAGGAATATAAAAACCGACTTAATGATATTACCAATGAACAACAAAGCATTTTCAAGTACTTTCAACCGAGATATCACGACCTTAGAGAGCAGATGAAACAGGCAGACACCAAGCACCAGGAGTCACTTAAGCAAGCCCTTTCCGCAACTGAGCAAGTCAGGGATAAGCTCCAAAAGAGTATGAAGGAAGTTCAAACCCTTTCTCACCAAGAGATACAGAACTGTAAGCCTATGATGCCCGAATTGCTTATGTAGCTCATTTCCTCCAGTACGATCAGAGATCCAAATTCTTGAAATAAAGCTAGCAGAGCGTGAGAAAGAGGTTGATCGAGAGAGGAATCATGTCAATGACCTTCGTCGAGAACTAGATGAGTCACACGAGCTCAACAAATGCTCAATCAAGTCTTTGAACACACAGAATCAAGCACTCATAGAGAGGAGTGATGCAAGATCTATTCAGGTTCAAAGCATACACCAATGCGTGGAAAACCAGGAAAATCGGTAAGAATATCAATTAATAATTAGGGAACGAAGTTAACGTTGACAGGATCCGTTTATTACAAAAATCTCTGGAGGATAACCAAGTAGCTAGGCCAAACCTTTCTGAGTTGCTCAAGAGCTTGAAGGATTCCCAGGAAGACGTAGTGAATAGGTTAGTGTATCCCATCACTTTGAAAACACACGGATTTTGATGAGACGCCTAGTATTGTTCTGGAACTTCGCGAGCGGGCAGAATTAGATCGTGGATGGTCCTCCGAAGTCACAGAATGCTTGAAGAATGATATTCTAGGTGTTCGTGAGTACTGTTTTGGCCTCAGTGAACAAATACAGAACCACCAAGATGCCTCGCAATGGCAAGAAAAGTTTTCGAAAGCTCAGCTAGAATACCAAGTTGCACTTGGCGAGAAGAACCGCCTAAAAGAAGAAGTTGCGAGGATGCACATCGAAGCGAAGACGCAGCGTCAGCAACAAGAGAATCTTCAACGTGAAATTGATTCTTTAAGCGCCAGTGCTAAGGTTACAGATGCATCTAATAAACTAATTGAGGCACTCCAAAAAGATAAGCAGATGATCCAAGAGGGCTTGAATGACAAGGAATCACTCATTCGCACATTAGAAGAGGAGCTGAGAGAAGCTACCGAAGCTCTGGCCACCCAAAAATCTCAATTTACGGATCAAGAATGCAGTTTTCAGGACGAACGAGTGAACTATATGGAGGCGATTGCCAGCTGCCAGGAACAACGAGACCAAGCTATCAGTCAAGCAGAAGAGGAGTGCATGGGAACATGGACGAAGTACTATGATGTTGAGAACCGCTTGCGCGACGCAGAGCAAAATTGTAGTCGGCTTCAGATAGAGATTGTACAGGCTAAGCAAATCGCTGAGCAAACTCTAAGAAAAAGCAAAGACGAAGCCGCAAAACGAGCACAGCAATTGATAGTGCCGATAGCAGACTTGATTGAGAAGACCTCGGCTGGGTTACAGACATCCGAGCAAGCAAACAATAACCTAAACGAGAAACTGGAGGCCTGGTCTAAGGACCACGTCGAAGTGTCACTACTACAGCAGGCTGTTCAGAAACTAGCCAAAGACTACAAGACTAATACTGAAAACGGCAAGATTCTGGAAAATTTCTTAGAAAGACAAAAGAAAATGGACAACACATGGCAGTGGCACAAATTAGAAGTCGGTGCTCTTAATCGAGCTATAGAATTCGAGAAGAATGTGATGGCGGACACAGAGGGAGCTATGCATGTTGGCCACAAGGGCCAGCCCGATACATCACATGTTATACATCGTCGCGTGATGATTCAATCTCCAGCAATAGACCACGACCGCAACCAGAAATTGACTCCTGTATCGATCGAAGAAGAACGAGTAGCTAGGAGACAGGCTGCTCCAGTGAAGGGAATCATGAAGCAAGCTGCTCTCCAAGGTGAGGAAGGAATCGAAGAACAACAGTATCACCAGAATAGCCAAGCCCCTAAGCAAACCAGCCAGTCTCTAAGTCGACGACAGGCTACAGGCATCGATGAGAAGAAGTCCACCCTAGTGTCGCACAGTGCCTATAACCGGCCAGTCTTAGGTTCTTCTGCAAGTTTAGAGGCGTGTAATATGGACGATATGCCCGAAGAGACAGAGACAGCATCTACCGAGGTTCCAGTGCTTAAGAAAAGAAAAAGGATTGAGGCCGAAAATAATGAGAGAGAGAAAGTCGTTGACATGATGCCTCACCCAGCACACAAACGCCGAGCGAAGATAAGCCGCTCGATGTCAAAGTAAACCTGATTGTCTGGACGTCAAAGACGCTGCAATCAAAGCAATTCACTAGCGAGCCCGGCTCTGGCATTTGAGAGGCGGCGGGGTTTAACACGCGAGCTAGTCATAAGCCGAAGGATGCAGTTCGCTTCAACCAGAAACTTCATGCCCATTCACTCGACTTTGGGGCCGGTGCCTTTGGCAAATACGGATGCACCTAAGCTTGCTACTTTCATCATACTGGCTTTCCCCTGCTGGCTCACATGCATGCTATCATGGCTCGTGCCATGTTAGTGATTTTCGGGGTGCGATCAGGATTGCTAAATGCTGGCTTAATTGTTAGATATCTCTTCGCAGCTTGCCTGAGTACATTCGGCATGAAACCTAATCGCAGTGTAACTTGTTTCTTTCTAGATTGATAGTCATTTGAAGAACCTAGGTATCAAAAATTACCGATACGAAACAGAGTTCAAACATAACAGCGTGATATCTTTCTTGATATGTTATGCCGCCTATGTACTGCGTAAGGGCTGGAAGAGCTGATAGTCTTATAGTACAAGTATGCTACATGATGGTGTTGTGAGCGCATCGCTGGTCTTAAACGTCTTCGGCGCAAGTCAACTCGGAGCGGCTCGCCCTATTCATCGATATGGTTGATCGAAGAGGACCGAGATTGTTTCATCGTCGGTGGTAAGTCTTAGAATATCATCCATCGTATCATACATGTCGTCTATTTCCCTTTTCGCTTCTGTTCTAAGAAAAGAACCTTCTTCCGTACTGTAGGTGAGATTCCGTATTAGTACACTGTCGAAAGACATATTGCCGCCTTGCTATACTCTGCAAGGGCACAACTAGGCGAGAAGGAACTGCATTCCATTGGCGCTAGTTTGGGGTATGGGTGGATGTGGCTGAATTGCCGAGTCTGATTGTGTTGGGATGTTGACAGAACCGAGTTTCACGTACCGACGGGGTCGTATTTTAGCATACTCATCGGCCTGGATGTTCGAGGGCGGGCGTATTGGTAGAAGAAACCGGTCATGGCCATCGAGAGAAGGCGCACCGAGATCATGCGAGACTTTGCTGTTTGCGCGAGCGCGGTGGATTAGCTTGGAACGGGAGTGGGCTGCGGATAGAGTTTGTGGGTATGGAGATTTACTTTTTTTCGCCATGATGAGCGTGTTGTCGTCGAACGGACGGCAGACGACGGCGTGGTGGGATGAATCCGTGAGTTGGCTCGATGGTCACGACGTTATGTTGCGATGTACCGTCTTGGGTGCTTTTTTGGTGGAGCTTGAAGGTGTGGCTGGTGTGATAAGATCTTAGGCCTGTCAGCCACATCCAATTCAGGCGCCGGTTCAGTAAATAGTAAATACCTAGTCTAGTGACCTCCACTGCCGGACATTGCCCATTCAATCTTTTCGTCACATGCTTCCTTGACGACATACCTTATAGTACACTAGCAGATAATCAGTCACACAGCGATGTCGGGTTCACCTTTCCGTAGACTCACATTTGTTTCCCCCGGACCCGATTCGGATGGACATGCTCAATCGGGGTTAATAGCCTGCCCTATGGCGGGGAAACCAACAGAGGAACCGCTCATCAACCAATGAGACAGTTTCTAATTCAAACGTTTTGGATTAGATAAAGCAATACTTCACTCGTGTACTGCTCTTCTTGGTACCATTTAGATATCTATACATATATTCCAAGTCTCCTCGGGCTTTGGAATAGACTGTGGACCGCCGACTCAGGCAGGAGACAGCGAGACAGGTATCTTCACTCTCGGGGTTGAAGAATAACAAATCAGAGATAACACACCGTGATCTACATGACAAGTAGAACAAAGGAGAGCTAGCTCCTAGTACAATCTCCAAACTTGTGTATATATAGAGCTAATGTTGTCCTACCCGACCGAAGTATAAGTCATTATCTTTCAAACTATTTGGACACAGTTCGTTCTTTGCTAGGTATTGAAGATATCACATCGTGTTGATACCAAAAGAACGGAGCGGACAGGTGAAACCAACATTTAATTCAACATGCCTTCTGAAGAGTTACAATACCCGACAAAGCCTTATAGCAAGGTCAACCGATATGATGTTCGAGGTAAGCAACTACGGATATTATCCCACCACGTATATTAGCACTCAATTCACATAATGCTGATAGCTTCATACGCACTAAGGACGATCCATGAGCTCATCAACACCAGTCCCATTCTACAAGTATCCTTCACGATACCGGACTCTCCCTTTCCCATGATGCTGCCTATGATCGGCCAGATGGGCTCGTTCGCGCGGCCCAGCTCTGATACAGGCGACGTGCTAGAGTTATATTTACACGGCTACGTATCCTCACGGATAATGAATCTTTCCCGCAAGGATAGCAGCGGCACAGATGGAGAAGCGGTGACGGGTCTACCCATCACGATCGGCGCAAGCCACGTCGACGGCCTAGTCCTGTCGCTGACGCCCAACTCCCACAGCTACAACTACCGCTCGGCGGTGCTATTTGGACACGCCGAGCTCATCACGGATAACGAGGAGCGGCTCTGGGCCATGGAGCTCATCACTAACAGCGTCGTGCGCGACCGCTACCGCCACACAAGGGTACCGCCCAACAATGCCGAGATGCAGAGCACGAGCATCCTGCGCGTCAAGATCGCTTCTGGAAGCGCCAAGATCCGCAGCGGCATGCCTAGCGATGAGAAGGCCGATCTCGAAGACGAATCTTTACTAGATCGCGTCTGGACGGGCGTTGTGCCGGTTCATTACACTTTTGGCGAACCTAGTAAGTCGCTGGGTCTCCTTAGCTATCTAGCCATTTCCTCTGGATCTATCGTAGATGTGACGCACTTATTTCTACGTCTGTTCAGTGCATGATATCCTGGGATCTTTACGCTTCTGCAAGACGCAGTCACTAACTCCTGCGTCGCAGTGCCTGGTCCCTACAACAGACTCGACAAAGTCCCCGCGTATCTAGATGAGTTCGTGCGCGACTCGAATCAAGACGCGAAGGACATCGCCATCGAAGCGGCGACAAAGACTATGAAACCCAAGCCCAAGGCGAATCTGGAAGATTAATTTAAATGTACATATATAGTATTGATCAGTGAACCTTGTGGGTTACCTGCAGTGCCTAAGGCTAGTGAAACGTTTTCAAGCTGAAATTATATTCTAAGGGATAAAATTCTAAGGGATAAAATTCCAAGGCATAGAATTCTAAGGGATAGATTCTAGTGTCCCCAACAAGTATTGTTTGTCAACTTTCTATGTTTGGTTGACTGGTAAACACTTATAAGGCATACTACTATCTATATATTCCATCTCCTTGTCTTTCCTTAGTTTACTGTCTTTCATCACTCTGTCCTTCATTACTCTGCCCTTCTTCGCTTTGTCCTTAATTACCATGGATCCCTCAGTAGTGTCATACTTTAGCAAGTTGAAACAAATGATTGAAACCACCAAAGAACTTATGGCCAAGCTTGAGGAGACCAGGACTGAGATCAATACCAAGTGCAAGGAGACCAGCACCGAGCTCAAGGCCGAACTTGAGGAGATCAATACCACGTTTGAGGGGATTAATACTGAGCTCGAGGAGATTAATACTAAGCTTGAGGAGATCAACGCCAAGCTCGAGGAAACTAGCACCGAGCCTAAGGCTGAGCTCGAGGAGATGAGTACCAAGCTCAAGGCTGAGCTTAAGGAGATCAACACCAAGTTCGAGGAGATCAACACTAAGCTCGAGGAGACCAGCACCGAGCTCAAGGCCGAGCTCGAGGAGATGAGCACCAAGCTCAAGCCCAAGGTCATCAAGATCGAGAATAAAATAGTGCACCTGTAAGTATATTCATTCTCCTCGCATTTTAGCCTCGCATTAGTTTGGTTACGGTAATCTTAGTTTAACGCAATTTGAATTTTAGGGGTCATCAAGATGGTTAGAAATTGCGATCGGGATCCAGGTTCTAATCGATAGATGAGCCGTGTAGTAATGGGATGAGGATTGATGCTGCAGAGTAGAATAGGTATTTGACATGGGGTATCAATTGTGAGGGGACTAATTTTCCACTTTTGTTACGTGTATTGTGAAGTCATTTGCTACTCTCTCGTTTCGTGTAGACTGAGTCCAATAAGGCAAAATATACTATAAGAACCAGATAGAGGAGTCGCTGCGCGCTTCTACTGTAGACCAAGTCACCAAGCATCTATCAAATGCATGCCTGGTGGTCGATCGGCAATCGTCACCAAGACGCTCTCATCATCTCATGAAAGTAATGGCTAGTAGCAATCTCCAACTGTTTGTCAGTTTTGGATAGACTGCAGCACGAATCGACAAATTGATATAAATCAACGCAAGCCGCTTACACTATACGGAAGTGGCGGAAGTGACGGAGGTGGTTTCCAAGCTAGTGAACTACCGAGTAAAGTAGCAAATGAGGAGACATATGCTGTACAAATGCCGAGTTAAATCTAAAGGAGGCCGAAGACGGCTCTCACTTGTAGTCCTGAATAGACGACTTGCCTAGGTGACGACACAATCCAAAAGCCACAAGATAGCTGAGACGAATATGGGATAATGTTTTATCATTTAAAGCTATCATTAACGATGAGGGTTAATAATAAGTAGTCAAACGCCTATCCCTGCAACTGCAACAGGATAGCTGAAGCTACAGAGGAACAGAGTCTTTCAAGCCAAAGACGTCTGTGAACCTATATCCCCCAGGGTATTTCCATCCATAATCCAAATTAAAAAAGAAGTCATCATCATACCACATTAGATTGGCTTACCAGCGACCCTGACGGGGTGCGCTTCCGTGTTGAAGACCCACTGGTTGTTGTGCTCGGCGTTGACTTGGTAAGGCGCCTCGCCGGCCTGGATGAGGTAGCTGTATTTGAGGACCTCGGCGAACCAGAAGCTTTCTTGGGAATCGTAGAAGGAGCCGCCGTTTGCCGCGTTGACGTTGGTAACAGCGCTGAAGCCAACACCAGCGCTGCACGTCTTGTTGATGTTGAGGAAGGCGTCCCACGCCCAGTCCTGGTATTTGGTGTCTCCAGTTGCGCGGTACGCGTAGTAGTAGCTTTCGATGACTTCGGGTCGCAGGACATATGCTGACGACGTGATCCAGTAGCCCTTCTCGTTGTAAAATGAGGCTTGGTTGCTGGGCGCACCAGCGTTGTTGCTAGCGTTCAAAGGCAGTTTGCTGTCTTGCCATCGGAAGCTCTCAGGACCGATGCCTGTCACCGTGCCGACGTACGTTGCGTGGCAGCCCGCGACCAACTCGAGACCGAATTTAATGTAGTCCTCGTTATCTAGCGCGAGACCGCCTAGGATGATATTTCCACCATCGAAGCAAGCCACTAAGAGAAAAAGTAACATTCAGTCTTGAAATTCTTCAAGCTTCACAGACTTGTCAGAACTTACGGTTAGATGATACAAAGTTGAGCTTATCCTTGCCCGCACCGTTGTAAGCGGCAAGGAAAGTGAGCTCTGGGCGGCTCGAGGGATGAGAGGTGAGATAAGTAATGCTCGAGTCAATGGCAGCGATCCAGCGGTCCTTGAAGAATGAAAAACGCTCAGTGTCGTAAATGTACATCTTGATCAGATATTCGTAGAAGGAATCGGTGCCGCCGTTCCAACCACCACGACCATCAGCGAAGGTACCATCGTCGACATTGACATTCGTTCCGATCAAGCCAGGGTATGGCTCACCAACTTCGGGGTTCTTGACATTGAGGAGGTATTCCTCACCAGCCCGTACAAGTTTGGCATACTTATCGTCGCCGGTGAGATCGCTTAGGCGCGTCCACTCGAGAATCAAAGTGCCGATCGTAGCGATTCCATTAGTGGACTCGTCCGTCGTGACGGGGCCGTCAGGTCCGTTGAAGACCAAGTCGTTGATTGGGACACCACTGGGAGTCTCAAAAGCGACGCTGAGCAACTCAGCAAGGTTGACGGCCTGATCCAAGATTGCCTGCACTGAGTCATCATCAACTGTTCCCTCGAAAGGGCCAGTGAGGAAGTCGTATGCTGTTTCCAATATCAATTTGAATGTTCTCATGAAAAATCAATATGAGAGCGATATATTACCAGAGAGTAATCCACCTAGGTAGCGGATGGTAGTCTCAAAGAGCGAGACACCCTCGGCACCATCCGCTGTTCGGTTGAAATTGATCGACTTGATGTGATCGACGATCTGATCGACAACCTCTTGGTTTTCCATAATCAGAGCAGTTGAGATGGCATCAACTGCACTCGCACCCCACCCATTTCTAAGGCCTGTATTAGCCACAACGATTTGCGTAGAGTTATCACGTGGCTTCTTACCGGTCATTGTCGTAGGTCTTGGAAATGGGCTTCAGGCTGTCATTAGGGAAGGCATATTCATAGTAACCATCCCAGGATCTCTGGAAAGCCTCCTTGACTCCATCGAGTCTGTCCTGGTGCGTGACGTAGCTGGGGCCGCGATTAGCCAAGGGCGAAGCGGACACTACGGCCGGAGAAACAGAGCTCAGGGCAGCAAGGGCCCAGGTATAACGATGCATGATGAAATATTAAGCAGAAAACACCGTCTACAGCGCGAGTCAGGGAGGCCTCAAGGAGCGAACAGGCCGAACAGAGCCCTCGAAAAATGATGCTGCTGCACGAGGGAGAAGCAGGAATGCCAGCGGGATGGGCATGTGGGTGGAAGGCATGCTCGCGTCTTATATAATTGATGTCTATATCCCTTAGCATGATGGAGATGGGGAATGTGTGATCAGGGGCGCGATCCACAAATTGTGGACAGGCGGGTGAGAGAGCGCCAATCCAGCCAACGCCATTGCACCTCCTCTATCCGGATCGAACAGGTTGGTCTCATTCTGCGGTGCTTGTGAACCGAGATGCGCTGCTGGGTTCCATGACGGCTCCCTCTCAAAGTAGCAGTCATTAAATTGAGGAAAAGTGGGATGTTGCTTGGCTACTCTCTAGTGGCCGCTGGTGTCTTTGGCAGAGAGGCATGGGGGTGTGCTGTACCTGTCTGTGTGCACACACAGCAGTCCATACATAATGCAGTACCGGTATCTGTGCAGTATCCCTACTTCCAAGGTTATTTAGGTGATGTAACACTGCGCAGGGGAATCCTTGAGGCTCGCTAGCCTCAAAGGTTAGCTGCGACGATCACCTGAGCACAACCGCGCCGAGGTGAGGAGCTGTGGTGCAACTGGACGATCAACAGCAGGAGACCCAGGCACGAGGGGAAAGGTTCGCGCACGCTGGGGCGGTTTCTCCAAAAATGGGGTGATACAGGGGGAAGCGCGAAGGGCATGTGGTAACGACTCGAGCCTCGTCTCTTGAGGTGATGTCTCTTTTGGTTGCTCATATTTTCTCTTTTCTTTTCGTGATGGAGGTGAACTATTGCCTCTCTACAATGCTAGACCATGCGCGTGCACCGGCACTTGCACGACATAAGCTTGACTAGGACGTCACTAGAGAACGCCACCAGGGACAGGCCCCATGGAGGCACGGCAATGTCATAAGCAATAGGTAGTTATGCTCATCTACCTATCACGCTCGGCCAACTTTTCTCGTCCCTTTTTTCGACATAAGATTCGCTCTGTGCCAAATGACCCGAGATGATACCTTTAGAGAGATGCAACCTTCCACATACAGAAGGCCATGTGCAGATCGCTGACCCATTCATGACGACGTTCAGTCGACGGTGAAAGAATCAGGCACCCAGGCGCCAGGTTCCCAAGGTGTTGTGACTAGTGAGGGGTAACCTGGTCTTGAGGAGAATACCTAGGGAGTGAATTGTTATATGTATCCGGCTGGGGTAACAAGATGCGAGCTCGAGATGAAGCTAAATACTTATCTTAGTCTACCAATGTGCCTAGCCATCCACTAACAAGGCATCGGACGGCAGATTTCATCTGCGAGGCGGACAAGAAGAGGATAACTGAGCCAATGGAACAGCAGGCACCTTACTTACACAGACGTCCGCTTCACGGCACGAACAGCAAAGAGGTCTGGTTAGCGCTTTGCCTGCCCCAGATTTGCCCAGAGTCTTGTGCCCAGAGAAGCAGCTCCGTTGCGCTAGCTACCTTTACACTATCCGCCGGATCCTCACGGATGGCCGATCTATGCGGGGAAAGGGCCGCAGAAGGTAGACAGCCTAGCCTGCTCGCCTGCCTACTAGCTACACTCACTCAAACACCACCTTCGCCTCGGAAGGTACATACTAAGAAGTAGGCATATAGGTATTGTCTTCCTCTCATGCGGGGAAACACCAGTGGAATCCAGATCACGGTATCATGGATCTTGTACGCTCAGGAACCATACTCTGATAGTGTACTTGCAGTAAGTCGCACCGCTTTGCTGTGCCTGTACCTATAAGATAGGTTGTATGATCATGGAAAAAAACAAGAGTTGGGATAACCAGGCAGGGTCAAAAGGTCTATGCGACGGCGATAAGTGTAGGCGATTCTCTCGCGCAGCACGACGCATCGTGTATGCATTGCGGCAACACACAAGCCCATGGCTATTCCCGCTTGCCCATTTCTATCTTGGTACCTATCGGTGTTAGACGATGCCGTTATTTTAGTCATTTCGGTGGTAACATGTAACATGCCAAGACCTGTAACTTTCTAGGAACATGGGGCAGCGACCCATCAACCATCGAAACCCACAACACCAACATAGACGTCATAACTTGATATCGTATCGGTTATTCTGGCAAAGCGGTTTCTTCCTGCAAACCGTTGATTTCGTTTCTGTCGAGTGCTTATTGAATATGATATCAAAGTTAGATTGCTCGGTAGTACCACGGCGATGGCCAGACCGGGCGACATTTATCACCATCCCTGTTCCTGCATCCTTGTGTAAAGCATCGATAGGCCGGGGTGTTCCCCCGTTATCCAAGATTCTGAGAACCAGACTTGAACAACAAACACGTCAAGGGCTCGTATGATACTATTCGCCAATGCAACTGTATGCACGTAGACTACGCTAAAGCACAATCACGGCATACAGTAGCCTTCTGTATTCATACGTACGTAACGTATCCTTCCCACTCACGATCTTAGAATAAGCGCCTTGACTAGTTGGCGAGTAACGCTCAATTTGATCACCATCGTGGCCACATTATTTCTTCCTTTGCTTCAGTTCTTTGTCAACTAAGAAGCAAGGAATCTCTAGCTTATAGTTTGTATATGAGTATTCGTGTCAACGATTGAACGTCACCCTTTCTCTCTAAGGCGTGCCAGTGCAGCCGCGACACCGTCACTGAGATCATCGGCTTTGCGGGTGCTACTACTTGAGTTCGTCTCAGATGCCCTCATCCTTTCTTGAGAAGCGGTTTTCTTCGATTCTTCGATAGCTGCCGCTAACATTGCTTCTTCCTCGTCATCCAGATGCACATCTGGAAAGTGGGTAGCATTGACTGTAGCGGACGGTTTGTCGGCATTGAGTTGTGGTTGCGGTTGCGGTTGCGGCGTTGTGCTTGCACTCTCCCGTGGTGCGCTTGCAGACAGACGGGCCATGTCTCTTAAAGGGACTCGACTTAAGGGCAACGCCTGATCCAATACCGTGTTGGTTTCACTAGTGATGAGCCGACGTTTGGCCTGCTGGACTCTGAAAGGCTCTTCTACGACGCTACACCATCTCTTCACCTTCTTTTCACCCCATCCATTAATAATAGCAACTTGCTCAGGATCGGCGTTGACAGCGTCCTTGATACTTCCAAAGGCGCTGACGAGTGAGACCGCATCGGCTTTGTTGATTCCCCTGGGTACGGTAACAAATTCTGCTAGTTTCTCAGCATAGCTTGTAGCTTGCTGTCCTTTGATGGCATTGAAGTTGGCATGTTCGTAAGACTTGTATAGCTCGAGATATCTTGCAGCCTCGGCAGCCGACCAACATAAGATGATAGTAACGTTGTTGATCAAGGACGTCTTAGACAGTTCACGCAGCGAGTCTTCGTGGTTTGGTATATCAACCATAGTTAACAGGATACGTAAACTATATTTGCCCTGCAAATTACGGATTCGCGTATAGATATATTCAGGATGAAGCCGATGGTACTTGAGACTAAGAAAAAGAGCGCAAGTCGTCAAACCCAGGCCATAATCCGCTGGAATGTCACTATATTCCCAGGCTAGAGATCGTAGAGCGGTTAGCACGGGGTTGCCCTTCTGACGCGGCGAGACGAGTATTGAAGAACCGGCAGATCGCTGTGGAAGCGCTTGCGGTGTGGGCTGGACAATATTCGAAGTCGATGCGCTGGGAGGCGGTCGCTTGTCTAGGCGCTGAGGAGCTGGCTGCTGTATCCTCTGAGGAGTCGGCTGCTGCGGACGACTTGTGGACTGTTGCGATCGTGGTTGGCTTGGAGCACTTGAGGCTGCCGGTGCCGAGGAGGCGAGCGCAGAGAGGAAATCTGCATCTGCACCGAAGTCGTCATCATCCATTTACGGAATGTCGCCTTGAACCTCGAGCGCGGTGATGTGATAAGTAGAGCGTGTGCTTGTATGCCTCTGATCAACCTGCTGTATGCAAGAGGTAGGTACCTCTAAGCGTGTACCGAAAAGTGGCTGCTTACTCTTAGTTGCATATTTCTATGTACATAGACGTCATTTCATCCCACCTCCAATCCAACCAACAAGGTTGACGTTTCAGCGCGCGCCACAGCCGATATGAAGACACCGCCACAATTCGACTGAAACAGACCTCGTGTTCATTTGGTTGGTAACCATCTTATATCCCGTTCTTAGCGTTACTTAGGTAGTTGACCATATCAAGCGCTAATGGTTCTCATCTCATAACAGCTGGCTGTTGAGAGCCGCGAAAAATCAGTTGCATTCTAATTATCAGCCTCGTCTTCTCATATTTCAACCCTTTTGTTATTTGTGTAATGAGCCATCATTAGCAATTCACAGCTCTCTCCTAACCGAGCGGCTCTCCGCCTCAACCTTGCCACCATGGCTCCCAAGAAACAAATGTCAAAAAAGAAGCAGACAGGCCCAACCCCTCCAGAAACAAAGGAGGATTTTGAGAATGAGCTGAAGACTCTGGCAGGCCAAGCTCAAAATGAAACCTGGGGCCAATGGGGCAAGCAGCAAGTCGCTGTGTATGGCAGAGCGGTAGCTTTGATCATACTTACGGCCGTCTATGCCAATGTCTCGGTTATGACATTATCGCCTGTCTACGGTCAGATTGCTGCTAACCGGTTGCATCATTACGTTGTGTGGACGGGTCTGTTTGTCGGCTGGGCAGGCAACTTGGCTCTACGTCGAGCGCTGCCATTCAAGACTATCAGTCTACTGCCTCTGATAGCCCTCCAAATCCCCATGTCCCAATTCTACTTATTCGCTTTCAGCGGCGCACTTGGGGTTGAATATGGCCCTGCTATTACAGAGTTGCTAACCCTTTTCCCCCTTGTGGTCGTCAGCGCGGCATGCATCGCCGACATTCTAGACGGGGCTGATCTGAGCGGGCTGCCCAGTGCAGTTGCAAACCCGGCCCCTGGTATTGTTTCTTACATAGTGTTTCGGTATTCAGAAACTAGCTCCCTCAAGCAATTGGTTGAACAGATGGGAACATCCCTCATGCAAACTCGCATGGCATTAGAGTTCGTGCTGGCAGCTACATATAGCATTATGGGACGGTCACAGCTGTTGCGGTATGCCGTTCCTGGCATACTACACGCAGCCGTCTATAACACACATCTCATGACTGAGTCAGCGACCACCTCTCTGAATACTACTCTCAACGCCAACGGCTGGTCTCTCGTTGATCGTTGGGAGTCTAATACCGGCTATATCTCGGTTCTTGACAGTCATGTTAATGGGTACCGACTTATGAGATGTGACCAGAGCTTGCTCGGTGGTGAATGGACCAAATTTGGAAGAAACATTGTTGCAGAGCCTGTTTATAGTGTTTTCACCCAGCTCGAGGCTGTGAGGCTCGTTGAAGTGCCCGAAAAGGTTCCCGACAACGAGGCCCGTGCCCTCAACATGTTAGTCCCAGATTTCCCAATGCTATCCTTCTTTCAGCTAACGGTGATTCAGTGGTCTTGGAATTGGTACAACTCCTTCCGCCTTGATAGCGCATGGCATTGATACTACTATTGTTGAGATCGACCCTGTAGTTCATAAATTTGCCAGCAAGTACTTCGGGCTCCCGCCCAATCATACCGCTGTCATAGAGGATGTCGTCTCTTGGAGCCACGCCAATGCACCCACCTTACGCGAGCATTTTGATTATATCGTTCATGACGTTTTCACCGGAGGTGCCGAACCTGTTGACTTATTTACTGACACGTTCCTTGGGGGGCTCAAGTACATGCTAAAGCCCAATGGAGTCATAGTTATTGTAAGTTGCTCGCTGAATCTTGTTAATTAGGTACTAATGTATGCAGAATTACGCTGGCGACTTTACGCTTCCACCTCTCAGTATTGTTGTTAACACGATCAAAGATACCTTCCCGTCTTGCCGTGTTTTCAGAGAGAATGAACCGCCTTCTGAGGACAAGCTTGAGGAAACGGGTCATGACTTCGACAATGTGATGATCTTCTGCGTCAAAACCGATAATAAGATCACGTTCAGAGATCCCATAGAATCAGACTACCTTGAAAGCATCTCTAGGCGGCAAACCCTTGTCCCAAAGCACGAGGTACCGTTGTCGGCTATCTCAACGCGAGAAGAAGTAGGAATCCTTAGGGCCAACGAGACGGGGAAAATTACGGAATGGCATGAACAAAGTGCCCTCAGACATTGGGATGTCATGAGAACTGTCCTGCCAAACGAGATTTGGAATCAGTGGTAGTTCAAGAATTCGACAGGATACCACATCACGTACATATAGGTGTAGACAAAATGACTACATGTCAACTCGCGCTCGATGAGCTGAAAAGTTGGTTGGCAGGGCTCCAGTATCGGTTATTCGATCTATCTGAGATACCACTCCTAAACAGCAATAAAAGAAATAAAAACCCGGCATATCAAGAAACTCAGTTTATATACTATTCAACCATTTAGATCGAAAATAGAACGATTTAGCATACAGCCAGACCAGGTAGCTGGATTAGGAACCGGATGTGTTACCTTTGTTCACAAGATAACTTGCATTAGTACACTTTGGGGTTGCTTGTGCGAGGAAATAGAATGTTAGGGTCGAATATTACCAAAAAAAGGAATCCCATGTTGACCCTTGCTCCGCTGAACATTTCGTCCCTTGCAGCCCTATAAGCTTAGGTAATACTCAAGCCCCTTCTAGGCGGGTAAAATATAAGGGAGGATAAAAGTATTATTGCGCAATTCAAGGGGAAAGTTGACTCAGTCAACAAGCACAAGTTCATCATCCTCCATGACATCAATGTCGAGGAATTCCTCAAGTTTGTGTACCAGTTGTCACGGCGCAGTGGAGCATTAGGCCGCGCGCCCGGAGCAGCTCCAGCTTGACAGGGGATTTGGAACATTCGACATTTGTCTTTGCGCTTATGTGCTTACGACGAGCAACACAAATAAAGCCCGGTCGCATACTGGGATGGTCTTCGTATTGAAGTGAAAAAGTGCTACCTAGTAGTGAATACCGCCTATTCCGTATGCCAGACTCAAAACAGGAATGACGTTTGTACATCATGGGCTTCTACCTCGAGACGGATATGGCGGTATCAACTTCTCGAAGTCTGGCGGAAAACGCGGGAATGGTTAAAGACCGAAACTCATATCATCCAAATCTAGTTGCGCAGTCTAGTGAACGCCACGCTGTCGCTGGTCGACTTATGCTTAGCCTAGATGGCCGTGAGAGTTGTCCATCATGACAACATTAATGTAAGACTTCTTCTAACCTAGCCTAGGTGGTTGTTATGAATGAATGATCACCCTGTCTGCCAACCTTAGTGACTCTAACCATGTTGTACTTTACCCTATGCGCCTAGGCGGCAAAAGTCGACCATTAGTCCTAGCGAAATCCAGAGCCGCGATAAGTTTCATGTCAGGTGTTTAGATAGCCAATCCCCCGGCATTATTCATCTGTCAAGAATGAGCTGAGTCAGCATAAGCACCTTCAGTTCCAGATATTGGGTGCCCCCAGTCCAAAGCCTCAGTATAGGCCCGATAAGACTGGCTTGACTAATATCTGCATCCGAATTTAGTCGTGATACTGCAAGTGAGTAATCTGGGGCTGGCTTGATACAGCAATACTCCACGATCGAGATGGTGTTGTTATGTAATGCCTTGACGTATGCAGACAGTCGAGATGGGCCAAGACTGGGAATATTATTGCCTTTTACCAAGTCCAATCAAGTCACGGCGTTGCAAATCACAATTCTATTATATGCATTTTGGACCAGTTGCCTTGTGTATTCCTATTGACATTACTACTGAGTACCCTACATTCTTGAGAGTTCCTAACGTAGTGCACACATGTAATTACATGTTTGATCACCAGAGAATAGACCCTGTGTAAATCCTCTCTGTTTCTGGATTGACCGAAAATTCATAGTTCCAAAGGCGGCATAGCTCATCAATACTGCCCGTACTGCCGTATACTTGGTGTGGCTGCGCCAGAGAGCCAAGCTGCCGTCAGCCTGTCATCCTTCTACTACATACCTACTGTACAACAACCCTGTTCAACGCTGAACGACAACATGAAGAAACAACAATTCAAAAGTATCTTAGTATAGGATATTTTGCAAATCGTAGGCTCACACCACTCTACTATAGTTGCTCTCCAGCCTTTTCCCATTAGTTATTTACATAGCATTTACCATACTGTGTTCACAGCTTTATCCTAAAGAAAGAGACCCTTGTCTATCCATTAAACAACCATTTAAGGTCAACTGTTAGTATGAATCGGGTTAGGGCTTATTCGGACGTACCGGGAGTAGTCGGACTTTCCCGCGCAGTGAGCGAAGTCATTTATAGAAAATCTGCCTGTCTCAGCCCTAAAACTCGTGCAATCGCATCATCTTGCAGCATAACAGGCAGCTCTAACCTATGGGACCTCGTTGTTTATACTACTAGGGTATCATAACTAGGTAGCCCTGTCAAACATATCCAAACTTTGGGTGCCACCATGTCCACGTGGAACTCTCAACTCGCTTGCCTAGGTAGTCGAGCTAGACTACCAAGAGTATTTCTACTTCAGGGGACTTCCCCATTTTGCAATTTTCATGGCAAGTGCATATTTAGATACTCGCTTACAATATGAGGGCCTTGGCCAGCTGCAACCAGTTTGCTGGGTTCCCGTCGAGTGCAGCTCAAGTCAAATACTTAGTCAGACCGATTTACTCTATTGTAGACCTCTACTAGATATATATCCAACTAGTCTCCGTACAAGGCAGAGAGATGGTACACTAGCTAGGCCTGTATATCATATTCCAAGTTTCTCAAGCTTGGTACATCAAGATGGTGTACCATGATATAGATATCCCTTTACGTACGTTCGCGAACTGTTCTTGACGTAAGAGACGAAAGCTAACTTCTTCTCAGCGGCTTTCATAGCCATCGACTTTATAGGTATGACGGTAGCCTTGATACCAATTGTACTTCGATTCTGGCTCCGTTGGCGGGAAGCCAAACCTCAGCCCTTGACCCGCAATATCTCAGATGGCTTGATAGTCCTCTCATGGCTCTCTGGCCTGGTCCTCATCAGCAGTAAGTGGCTCTCCTTTTAATCATATCCCAGCCTCTGCAAAATGGTGTCGACTGACCTTGAACATTTTAGTCAATGCATGGAAGAACAGCTTACGGCAGCGCTACATTCACTACCCGCCAAGCGAGCTCTACTACAGCGTTCCACGCCCCTTGTCTGCCCACTTGCTTTACGTCTCCTGGATATCGCTCTTTTTTATTTACATCTCACTCTGGGCCGCGAAATTCGCCCTCATCGCCTTTTTCGCAAGCGTGTTACGCTTAATGGAGACACGTCTAGCACGATTGTTCCTAGGCTTCGCCGTCATTTTCACCACAAGCACCTTTATCCTACACATCACCTTGCTCACGAGATGGTGCACTCCCATCAGCAGCAACTGGGACATCAATGGAAAGCTTTGCTCCGCCGTTCACGACATCAGATCCGTGACAGTCTCCACTGTAGCAAACATCTCCACAGATCTCGTCATCCTATCTCTCCCAATCTTCGCCCTCACTTCCCTGAGCCGCGAGCGGAGAGCGCTCACAACGGAGCGCCGGATCACCAAGGCGGAGTGGAGTGGGTTCGCCCTCGTCATATCTGTGGCAGCTCTCAGTATAATCGCAGCGCTAGCTAGGTGGATTACTCTACAGCTTGTACACACAGTTCCGAAGGCAAACATCACCCATACCATCGACGTGTGGGCGCTCGTCGAGATTGTCGCTAGTTTGCTCGCCGTGTGTCTGCCCACTCTGCGTTCTTTCGTTAGGAGATCGAGAACAGAGAGCCGTCGGAGAATGGAGAATGGCCAGTCCTCCAAGTTGCTGTTCCTGCATTGGAAAGGGTCTGAAAGCACAGTTCGAGCTAGCAGTACAAGCGTTTAGCAAAGTCCTAGTGTTTTTGGGATCAGCATGGCGTATAAGGGCGTTTTCGTGTTTGCTATTCTTCCTCTTTGATTCTTAAGGATAGTTGGATATAATACTCAAAATCATGGCTCATAATGGGTGGCACACTCATAGTAAACATATAAGGCAGTCAAAAACTTTAGCGTAAGAGCGCCTAGGGTATCCAAGCATTTACGGCTCTTTTGAGGTAGACTGGTTCTATCTAGACAGTTATGCCATGACTTTAAGTTACACCTTAAATTCATTATCATTTTCTTCATCATCGGCGTCGTCATCACAATCCTCATTTTGTCATCCATTCTTCAACGAGAAAGGCCCCGGATCCCGAAAACATGCGAAACGCACTTAGCAGCCAACGGCAATAGCTGGTGTACTGTTAGCCTTCCAAGACTTTCAAGGATTCACGGGCCACAACTTACCGTTGGCGAAGAGGGCGTAGGAGTCGGCGTTGTTAAGAGCCTGGGATGAGCTGAGACGGGTAGCGGCAGCGTAGCCATATCCCAAGTCGTCAGTGCCGGCAACGGAGTTCAAGTGGGTGACCTCGTGGAGGGTGGTTGTGGCTTGATCCTGAGCGTGGCAGGTGCCCGTGGTAGCGGGCAATGCACTAAAGTCTGCCGTATCAAAATTTATCAGTCTAGTTACCTATTTCATACATTCTAGGATTGCACAGATTATGATGGCGGTATTTCTAGATCAAATGTTCACATACTGTGGCAACAGTTAGCTCTAGAAGACAATAGACCTTGCCACCAACTCGAGGACTTGGAACTGGCACAGCAGATTTTCATACGTACCACAAGGGGCAGTTGACGATGTAACTGTTGGAGGGGAGGGTGTAGGCCAAGACATTGCTAGAGCAGGCCCCGTAAATATCGCTGCAGTAGGTTCGGGAGCTACCGCTGCTGGTGCTGCCGCACTCCGAGACCACTCGAGCGAAGACGGAGGCGACGGTGGAGCCAACGGAGGTCGACTTGAAGTACTCCTGGACTTTGGCGGTGTTGCTAAGGGCAGCGGACGAGGCACGAGAGGCAAAAGAGCGGCAGTTAGTAACGGCGTTTCGTGTGGCGGTGAGCTTGCTGCCAGTGCAGTCGGACTGGACGGACTACTCGTTGTATATTCGTAAGTAACTATAACCTTGAGAGGATACAATGTCCAGAGTGTGCAAGGTCCAATAGGAAAGAAATGACGTACAGTGCGCTTCACAAAGGCCGAGCGGACTTTAGCAGCCTCCTCACCATCGACTTTGGCGGTGATAGTATTACTTGAGTATGGGATGACACCAGCAACCTCGTTTCTGTCGGTAGTAGCGAAGGAGAGGACGCCGCTGGCAACGAAGTCGTAATCACCGGTAGTAGTGAGGTCATGAAGCTCGGCAGCATCAAAGCTAATCTCGATGGTCTGGCCGGCAGGGATGGTCTGGAAGGCCTCATCTGCGAAAGCGCCGTTCATCAAGCGGAGACGGATGCCCTCAAAGTCAAGCTTGTTGTCTATAAGCGCACACATAAGATCAGGATGTTGTTACCAAGAACGAGCATTCTCAACGTTACTTACTGCCCTGGAAGACCTTAACCTTCTCAACAGGAGCAGAGTCCAGGAGGCCACCAGTCTTCAACAGCCTCAGGTCCTCGGCACCAGTGTTGGTGATGGTAGCCTTAACAACAGAGTTGCCTACTTGCTCGATCTGGATATCGAGAGGTTGGGAACGCTTGCCCATGGAGGCAGCGCTAGCCAGAGAGGCTAAGAGAGCGAGATTGGCAAGGAACTTCATTCTGAATTGAATAGGACAGGGTAAGGCTGGCTTGAGGGTGATCTTGTGGGTGATGAGCGAAGGATCTTCAAAAGCTGAAGAAAGGATCGTCTTTATATCTCTATTGTCTAGAGCACAACACTCCTAAGATAGATAGGATATCTCTATCCCCTGCCACGGCCCAGCAAGCATCAGGAAGGTAGTCGGCCTATTGGCACCAATAAGGGAAAGTAGCATTTGGGGGGGCCATAGAGTATAAAACTCTGAGGCGAATTCGTTCTCGACGCATTACTAGTTGCGTTACCTCATCCCTTGAGCTCATGAGGTCGAATTGCAAAGCAGAGGGTCCGAGTGTTGAGTTGCAAAGCCGTCAGTTGAAGAGAAAAACTTGATTCAAGTAATCTGGATTACACCGTTAATCAAGATACATCTTTCAACAAACATTAACAAACAGATTAGTTGTGAACCAAAGAGGCAATTCGGAATACCAGATCATAGCAGGACGTTATTGACCTGAGATGTGAGTTGTAAGTCGTCCAGTATGCTAACACAATTTGGGCTCTGCCGGCGTTGGTGCGCTAACTCTGCCTGGAAGGAGGTCGCATTTCTAGAGACATCAACCTCTTGGCAACTCATTAAGCTTTATCCAAGCTCCAACTCCCGGGATGGCTTAAGTCCAAAACGCTTGGCGTTGCGTGATGATTAGTCCGGTAGATGTAGTAGAATAGCCGGATTGAGCGGACGGGAGGTCTCTTCGGGCTCCGGATTGGCAGGGCTACTGCATGAATCGATGAGTTGACTGGTAATCTGACGAACTCATTGACCAGTGATCTGACTACCTATGCAATTGACCTTCCCCGTTGGACTACAAGCCACCGAGCACTGTCCCCTCGAAAGGCGACTATCTATCTCAAGATGTGCAAGAATGACGTCGGAGTGACCCTCTCGAGACGCACGATAGAGTGAGAAGACGCATGCATTTCAAATCAATAGCGGATATATGTTCGCATACGGCCATCTCAGCCCTGAATTCGAATGCATTCCATATGTTTGTAAATGGCATGCTATAGCTTCGTCCCATTGTTGATGTCTGAGTTCGATAAACACCTTCCTAAAGTAGCCTATCGCTACGAGGCGACAGACAACGGAACAAACCGCTTGCAAATATGATCTACAGCCTCGAGTACCGCAGTAGTAAGAACAGATAGGCTTACATCTTGTGTGGTAATTGCAATAGCGCTGTCTATGCGATTTTGAGGCTTTCTTGAATCACAGCTGTGCCTGGATGTTACCGTAGTAGGCGGCTATCTTCGCCCTCGACCGCGCGGAGCAAGCGCAGGTATTGTGAGCCGGAGATATATTAACTCACGCTAACTACGATATATAGCTAAGACGGAGGTCGGCAGATTTCAGACCTTCTTCCCTGACTTGTGCTGTTTCAAGATTGTAAAGGGTACACTGACGACCCGAATGCTGATTGGATATCTACTACAATAGCCTTCGGGATTAAGAGATATAAACATGCGAGGTGAGTGGTGGATCTACAATGTCACCGGAAGATCCAGATTGGGAATACGGGGACTCTTGCCTATCATGCGATCTCCACCCAAACATATTCTAATTGGGGCAATACACCGAGTAAAATCATTGCATATACCTTCAGGTAAGCCTTGTCACTAGCTTTGATATTGAAGCTGAGGGCCCTGTTACGAGGAGAGAGGTCTCTGGACGTTGGATCCCCTACTATAATGAATCACTTTTTATTACACATGTTATCAGATCGATATATATCGCAGAGTTTGAATGGTGGCTTGCCTTCGTTACACTGCAACCAAGTTCCCAATATACCATACCTATTTTTCTTGACACCCAAGACAGCTCAATAAGTCATCTCTTTCACAAGTGCAATGTGAACTGTATGTATTGGAGTAGATGGTCGCGACGCTCTAATCGACAGTGAGGTTCGAGTCGGCGGAGTAAATCACAAAACTTCCCTGTCTTCACCGACCTAACTGGAGATTGATAAGGAGCCCCGGAAATATTCAAAGAAAAGGGCTTAGTACTTTCAAGCTAGGATTCGTCCTTAGTCAAGAAACTTTGTTGCCCCAGGATACACTATAGAAGAAATCACGCAATGTCAATCGTGGAAATAGACCATGGTATGGAACATGATTTGGGCTAGATTTCAGATGTTCCGATGATATAAATGACATATTATTTCAGAATTTTGTCTAACGTTCTAAGGAAATTGTAGATTACCAATTGACCCGAATGGTCGAATGATTTCTACTTGTAATTATGTAAACGGGGTGAAATCCTCACAGAAACAATCCTGCTCTGACTTATTCCATACAGTACAGCCTTTTATAAGAGAAAAAACAAGATGTGTTAAAGGGCATATGTTAGTATAGTTTGAATTACGAATAACAGTGCGGCAGACAGCAGCGCTGCATAGTCACTTCACCTTGACGTGGTTACATAATATTAGCGAAGACTTCCTTGGTATGAACCCAAATCTTTTCATCCACGCCCCTTTGCCTGAAAGGCCCCAACACGTTCTCATTATCGGTCGACTCACCTTTCTCATTTACGAGAAAGATGCCGCCTTTAGTTTTTTCGGCCTTCTCTATACCTCGAGTCAGAGGAACCATCCCGTCATCGACGCTATAACGCGCACTGGTAGCAGCAAACAAACCCCAACTGCCAGCATCGGAAATGCTCCTGGCGAAGAGTCTGGCCACAGGAACTAGAGTGTAACTGAGTAGTTTCCCTTGGATACCACTGCTAACGCCATCGAATAACGGCGTGTCCACAAAGCCAGGATAGGCGTGAATGAAGCTGACACGGGGGTACTCGGATGCAAGACGTTCTAGCATTAGAGTGTTCATGGTACAGCTGTGGTAGCTCGCAGCAGACATCGAGAAATTTCCAGGCTTGTCTAGAGCTAGGTCATGTTCATCAATTGGACCTTCCTTTCCGCCCGCGAGGACAGACACGACGCGTGGACTTTGAGAGTTGTTGAGTAATGGTAGCAACAGTTGGGCAATCCGAATGCGGGAATAGTAGCGCGTCGAAATACTGGCATCAAGACCCTCACTGGTATCTGAAGCAAGTGGTGAGTATATAGCGGATGAGCTATTGAATTGTAAAGAGTAATTACCTTGTCGTCCATCCAAGGACACAAAGCCTTGAGACATAAAAAGTAGGTCTAGTGAGGATTCCTGAGCCATAACCTCCTCAGCTACCTTCTCAGAATCTTTGATAAGCGAAACATCCCTATGGATAATTTCGCACTTAGCATGGGGATTAATAAGGCGTAGTTCATCTGCTATGGGGCCTGCCTTAGTTGGGTTGCGGGCAACAAAATAGATGTGAGGGTTCACGGCCTGACGTGCGAATTCCCTGAGAACACCCAGACCAATACCGGAGGTAGCACCTACGAAAAGAGCGATAATGGGTCCCTTGACGCTTGAGAGCCGGCTGTTAGAGCTGGCCATGGTTTGGAAATCAACCATGTTGAAGATAGGCGTGGAAACAAAAGAGTAAATACCCCTATTATTGGAAAGAATCGGGCAGTATAGTCTGTAGCCGTAGACTTGAAGGTGTAAACTGATGGTTTAGCTCAACTAGATTTTTGTTTCAGTGATATGATCGTAATAAATTTCATATACCGCTTTTGTAACCGTATCTGGCGCGTACAACGTCTGCAGGATACCGTAACTGCCTGACAAGACAAGATTAAGGGGAAGCATCGTGAGCTAGTTATACTGTTCATTCTTAACGGAGATAACATTGTCGGTCTTTCTTGTGTTTCCGAGATCCTGTTTGTTTCTGCTGACTCCTCGTCCACATCTTGAGTTACGCTAATTCTATCTATATACGATGTCGAACCAGGCGAGCAATCGCTCCGGCCACAACTCCGGTTCAACTCCGGCAAGTGACAGGAGCTAAGCATCAACCAAGACAAGTCCGGCGTCACAGGGGTTTCTGGATGACAGAACCCTGATTGGCTGTCTGGTAACCCTTAATAGTAAGCTATTCCCAAGGGCACCTTACCCTTGCCAATCGAGTTAGTCATTAGCCCGGACTTGCTCCATTGCATCCAGTCCTCTCGAACTCCGGAGAAAGCTCCAAACATTCGAGAGTCACAACCGTGTCATGATCAGCGCTACGCAAGTGCGACAACAGCCAGGAAGTGCCTGCGATGGTAATATTATCTCCTCTCATATGCTTCGTGTCAATGCCACCGGCGTGCGGCTAATATGGATTTGATCAATCACTGATGGCAACTAGAGTGTCGCAAAAAGAAGCAACGATGTGATAGACAACGCCCTCGCTGCGGCTCTTGCGAAAAGGCTCGGACTGTGTGTCGCTTTAATGAGAAGCGACACCCTCTCAGACAGCCCAAAAGAAGCACTGAGATCAATTTTCGCTTAGGTACCTGCTTGTGAAGTTTGAAATCCTTATCCATGCTGATCCTAGCGGATGTGGTACCAGCTCAGACCCAGCGTCGTCCTATCGAGCAACATCCACAGGCTACCGTCTCGTCCGCCTCAATCCCCGAGTGCCAAGACGGTAAAAACTAGCCTCAACCCTTCGATCATGGCAAATAGATGGGCTTACTTCGATTGTGTTCAGCGAGCTCGGCCTCTACCTCCCCGCAAGGTGTCGATGATGAGCACGGGTCACCGTCTTCTCAGAACCTGGACCTTACCGACCGCCTATTTTCTCGAGATAGTGAAGAATTGCAGCTGCCAAATATCACTAAGATAGATTTGTATGCCTTCTAAGCTAGCTGCGCAAAGAGATGTTGGTCACTAAATTGGTTGTTAGAATGCAACTATATATAGATCGCGTGCACCCAATGCTACCCATCCTGAGCGCAGCCACAATCTCCAAATTGCGAAAAGATATGGATTTTCTTGACCAATATGAAAGATGCTTGTGGTTTGCCGTATTGACGATTGCTACTGCCTTTTCGAGCCAGTTCGACGACGTTCGTGATCGGCTCTACCTCACAACACGAAGCAGGCTTGAGGAGATGGACTTAGCAGAGGACTCTCTCGACTCCGGTCGGGTGGAGCTCGCTCAGGCATGGATATTGCTCGTGTTTTATGAATTTACCAAAACGAACTATCAACGCGGGTGGCTCAGTGCTGGTCGGCTCTTTCGACACGTGCAGATGACGGCGCTCTACAGCGTCGACAGAGGTATGAAGCCATCTTCCGTCAATACCGAGGCGGATCCTGTCATAGAAGAGGAAAAGAGGCGGGCATTTTGGGTTGCGTATTGCGTGGACCGAATCATCAGCGTCTGCGACACAGCGCCGTTGACTCTTGCTGAGGATGTGGTGAGCTCAGACTGGCAACGAGAAGTGCCCAAAGCATCGAGCTAATCAAGCTTACGCACCCAGATATATACTCGCCTACCTTGTCCAGATTCAGATTTCCACCGTGGCGTCATCACACTACAGTGTTTCTTATCTGAGGCCATAGCATCCGGAGAGCTACAGCGACACTCAAAAATCGCAGAATGTGTCATCTCCACCACTATATGTGGCCGGACACTCTCTCATAAGCAGACTTCAATTGTGGAAAAAGCTTACAATGGACCTCCTACTGACTACGTCGCGAGACGAGACTGGCTCGAGGGGCTTTTAGATGCCCAGCTCAAAAGCCTGCGTATCAACAGTCCGCTAGATGAAATGACCCCTGATCCATTGACCTCATTCACTACGATGTTTACACATGCAGCTGTTCTATATCTATGGCACATCGCGGACCTTTTATCGGATCATCCTCAGGATCAGATATCCCCCCTAGCAGTGCGCGGCTTAGACTCATCACAAGAAATATCCCGCTTAGCTAAGGATATAGAGCCACGTGGGCTTTTCAGTGCACACGCATTCACCCCTATTCCCTTGTTTTTCTGTGCATTTCGACTTCGATCTTACATAGAGTCGGAACGGCCTGACCTCCTACAAGCCGAGAGGGTACAGTTGGAAGAACAGATTCAGACATGTTTGGAAGTGTTGCAAAAGCTCCAGGCTGTCAACAATCTTGCGGGCCGTCTTCTCCAACAGTACAATGCGCGTCGTGTTCCTCCGCTGTGGCTATAACTCACAGGTTAACGGGAACAGAATGGGAATATTACTGAAATACATACAAGTCTGACCACGGAGCTACTGAGGGCTAAAGCCGAGTAACCCTGCTCCCTTTGCATGTCTCATTTTTCGAAAGGGCTAAAGATACAGCGGTTATATCCGAGATACTGAATCTTGGCAGATGATTCACAAGAATGGAGGGACACCATGAGTCGTACCCTGGAAGTTCAAATGATGTTACTTGGTAGTCTCAACATCCTCTAGGTTACTGAGTGGTGTTTCTCGACAATGGAATGGCTTGTTGTTCAGTTGCCAAAACTTTTATTATTATTACACATATGAACCGAATAAACATGTTTTACTAAATCTTATCATTGAAATTCCACTCATGATTTACTATTATTAAGAGGCTGAGACGGGTTGACAGTACATAGAGCGACGCCCTTGGTCTATGGTGATATACTTCACGACCCCCTATTTGACTTCTTACTGGGATGTGTTGCTATACACACGAAGTTAAGTTCATTCCAGTGCTTGTCACCCGCTTGGATAGCCGATCATCTGAATATTTCGGGCGGCGAATTCCCCGCCCAGGCTATAACTGACACCGCCATATGCCTGTGACGCCTGTTTTTCAAGAATGCAATACTGTGACACCCAACAATAGAGCGTGCTTTTCGAATCCAGAACCCTAAAGTAGTCGACTAAGCAATAAGATAATGATCTGAACTGGCTTTCCAGGTCCGGGTTTACTTACCCGGATACCTATACAATCAAGGAATTATGTGGTATTTATTGCGGAGATTCCACTCGATCACATCGTACCAGGTTCATCTATGCCGAGCAACCAATCCCCATGATATGTGTAATGTAGTACCTGTCTGTCTCACACCTCCATATTCATACATAATAGTAAACAGTGAACGTTGTTATCTCCGCATGACTTCGGAATCCCCTCTACCGTGATTTGTTGGACTGCGTTTGCCCCTCACCTGGCCGGCCGGACACGGTAACACGCCTCAGCCACTCGAGCGACTATTGACAAGAAATACTCGATGCAGATGCACTCTAATCCCCCTCTTGGTACTCACACTGTCACACAGTGAGATATGCTCACGGCTATTGAGACAGGTGGCGCAACTATCGAGTGCCCAGCCCGCCATAATAGCCAGCCGTCAATCTTCAACATAAAACTGCGGGGAACGTAGTCAGTTGTAGTGTACTCGTACATATATCCCGGTAGCTAAAGTCTACGGGCATTCTGGATCTATCTGGTCATATTGTTTCCCAGAAACATCAGTCCTGAGTTTGGACCAGTTTGAAATGAATTGCACAAGCTTGCGTTTCGCTCGGCAAGTCCGGACACAATGTAGTCGAAAGACAGTTTGGCACCCCTCCTACAGAGGCGTCTTTGGAAGCCAACCCAATCGACGAATAACCGGGGCAGCGTACTCTTCACTCGCTCGTCAATCGAGCGAAGGGAAAAGCGTGATCATCACAGGATCAAGTCGCGGCATCGGAAAAGCCATAGCATTACGCTTAGCCACCGATGGCTACAACGTCTGTGTCAGCGATTTAGGTGCGAACCGAGCCGGATGTGAAGAAGTGGCCAAGGAAATCCGTAGCATGGGACGGAAGGCGTGCGTGGCTATGGCCGACGTCACGAACAGAGAGGAAGTCAAGAAGATGATTCAAACCAGCGTTCGGGAATTGGGACCGCTCAACACAATGTTCGAGGTCCCAAATCATCGGGCTCGCGAGAGCTTGAATTTATCCTCGAGCGACTGCTGACACAAGATAGGATCGCGAACGCCGGCATCGTACAAGTGATTGAGCCCTTGCTAGTATCGGAAAAGGATTTCCAGCACATGTTCTCCGTCAACGTCTTCGGCGTGCAGAACTGTCTGGCAGAGGCAGCGAAGCAACTCATCGAGCAGGGAAACTGTCAACCCGATAGCCCCGGGAAACTGCTGGCGGCGTCGTCTATAGTCGGATTCCGGTCATTCCCACTACTCCCCCATTACAGCGCGAGTAAATGGGCTGTTCGTGGTCTGGTCGAAGCGTATGCGATGAATTTGGCCGAGAAGCATATCACAGTGAACGCATACGCGCCAGGCATTGTTGAGACCACCATGTGGGATATCATTGATGCCGGCGTGGCTGAGAGAACAGGGATGGCCAAGCACGAGGTGACGGAGAAGATGGCCCATGATATGTCACTTCTACACAGAGTCAGCGTGCCGGAAGATGTAGCTAAACTCGTGAGCTTCTTGGCAAGCAGTGACAGCGACTTTGTCACGGGTCAAACGCAGCTTGTGGACGGCGGTGTCATCTTAACATGATTTACAACAATATGATTAAACGGTATTGTCTATACCAAGTGTGGGGAGCGGGCCTGGAGTCGGGACCTTGTTTTATTGTTCAGCCTTAGAATTGATATGCTTGCTTCTGGTCTTTCTTGTCATAGTTGCTACTGGCGTTTTCCTTTCATACTGGGCCTCAAACGGCCAAGTTATGTAACGAGAGAGTTCCCAAGGTATGTTTTGGAAGAGAGATTGACTGCCACCCAAGGTAGAGCTCATCTAAATGTGTGTCATATGAGAATCTGAATGCTGTTAATGATCATTTATAGTCATCCGTACGTAGAACCCTTATATATATACAGTTGAATGAGAGATACGTATACACATACAACACGCCGTGGAAACCATCGAGACCTCAAATACCTTATCCGAGTCGCACAACCCTCCACATCCTCAAGCATTCCTGCAAGTCCATCGACAGCGTGCCCTCATGCGCCGTCGTAGCATCCTTAACGAGCGCCACAAGCAAGCTAGCCATCGCGAACTTCTCGTACTTCACCTGTAGAGTATCAAGGTCGTCGCTCCTCATACCCCCATTATCAGCCCACGCCGCCCACGCCTCCAGCATCTCGCAGATGTCCGAGGCGAACTCGCCGTCGAGGACCATGCGATGAAGGATCGTACCGACAACCTCGCGTAACGCGAGCTCACTGTCGACTACCTTGCGCGTCCGGAGCCAAGTCAGGTTGTGCTCAGCCACGCGCTTGCTGTCCCATTTGGGGCTCTGCATCGCCTCGTGGCGCCTCGTCTCGCGACGCTGGGCTTCGCGGCGCGATCGATCTTGCACTAAGTAGGGAAGCTTGTTAGTTGGCGTCTCGTACAGCAAACTCGTCATCTAGACCCCCCCTAGAAAGTATTGATGAAAGCAGGGGAACGGTACGTACTATTGTTGATGCGCTGCATCATCTCGCGCTCCTGTCTCTGCTTGACCGCATGCTGTCTCTGCGCGGGATCCATACGTGCCTCGGCGGCTACCGCCAGGCGCTGCTCCTGCATGCTCCGCACGAAGTTGTCGTGGTCGCTCATGCTATCGTTGTATTGCGTCGCCCATTGTGGACAGCTCTCTGACGCCACGATGCCGAGGATTTCGAGCACGCCGCACGGCACCGTGTCCCGCCGCGCGAATGCCATGATCTCGTCAGGGATCTTGTAGTTCCATAGAACCGTCTGACTCGTTGTGCCGTAGGCTGTCGCGGCACTGGCGAACCATGCTCCGTTCTTCTTAAGACTGTTGATACGTAGGTGCTCAATATGCAGACTGTGCACATCGAACCTTGTGGATAATGGTGGCCCTTGGTCCTGGCTGAGCGCTGATTGAATCCCGTCAATCGAGATTTGACATGTAATTGGCATGCTAGCGTTCCTTTCGGCTTGTTTCTGAATTGAGTCCAGTGACTCCTTAGGTACGCTCTTTGCCTTGTCGGGCTCCTCGTCTTCAGCCTTGCCTGAGTCCTTCGTGTCTTCGGATTCAGTTACCTCTTGTGAGCTTGAGGAGCTCACTTCTGGCTCTTCTTTTGGCGGTGGTGACGGCGGTAGCCGGATCCAATACGGTGGTAGCGTTGAGGCATCGCGTGTAGTCCATGATGGCTCCCAAGCAACTTTTAAGGACATATGCCCATCGGCATCATCCAAGGGCGCAATGGATAAAGCGACACGAGTCTGATCAGGGCTCTTCATCAACGAACAGCCCGTCGGAGTCCATAATCCAGTAGAGCGGAGAAGTTTCCAGCCATGGGCATCAGGAATAGCGCCTAGATCGAGCAGATAGGCGACGAGCGCGTGAAACTCGACCTCGACCTGAGGCTGACGAAGCTGATCGGCATACTCGACGCGCTGGGTTTTGATGCCGATGGTGTTCGTCTTCCAGTTGAATGTCGTCCAGGATCCACCTGGTATCGAGCTTGGCTGCCGCGAGATTTGCCAATACTCGTCCGATGAAAAGCGATCCCAAGGCTGCACGGCGTACCGTGGCAACTCGACCTCGATAACTCTATTGACCACGTCGCTTCGCGTCAGAGCTGTGAGCTTCCCATGTCTCAGCATGCGCTTGATCTTGGACAGCGCTGCTAGCGTAGCGAGCGTATTGTACAAAATTGGAAGCACGCCCAGCACAGCGAGTGGAACACCAATGATGGTGATGATGTTTTCGGCTAGGTTGTTGTCTGACATTATAGGTGGCTGGTCCGAGGAGAGCCCTCGGGCGCTTCTAAGCACTTATGTTCATAATTATGGCAGCATCGTGCAGCGTGAAGAAATTTGTTTTGCCAGTGATCCTCGTCACTACCCCTTTTCAGCCCTGCTGCGGAATCTCCACTAGCGGCTGCGCGATGGGTTCAGCTGAAAAACATTCGACACTAAAGCGGCAGGTGTTTCACATAGCTATCCATCACATCCAGTTTGCATTTTCACGATTATTAACAGCGTCATGACCTCTGCTCTGCTTACGTCTATAATACGCTCGAAGCGAGATTAGTTGGAAATAGTAGATTATTTCTACATATCTAGTTATCATCTACCGGTATGAAATGTAGACATCATACAATGTGTTACGTGTACTGACAGTAGTGGAACGACGCACTTATACCATTACTGCCTGCTAAATCTCTTACCGTTGGATAGAGGTGTAATATATTGACTCAAACCTGATGATAGGTGCTACCTAGGAATCCAGTTAGCCATGGCCAAGCAAAAACCGGCTGCTAATAGTAATGTGAAGTTCCTTTCAGATATTAAGCCTTGTCAAAGGCAATATCATCAAAGCTGTCGAGCTATGTTGACCGTCGTGATAAATATGATCATCATGTGGAACTGAATATGTAGAAAATTGTGGCATCTTACCTTACTGGTTACTGAAAAGCTATAGAGCGTAACAATGGATACTCTAGAGATGGATGGTTAGCCACCGATGTACTTGGGCTTTGAAGCACCAAGAAATGCTAAGGCTGCAGTCAGATACGACTGGTGTCATCAATGCCGAAAAGCTATGACATATGCTTGCCAATGTTTTAGGTCGAATCATCATTTGCAGAGAGCATGTCCACGTGCTGTAGAAGAGCGGAACGAACCTTCTGGGTACTCAAGTCAGTAAATGCATCGTTGACTCAATACAAGAGACTCGGAGAGGGTTTGCTATCAGAAATGCATGAATGGTAAGGTATATAGGTTGTCTTCAACGGGAATCCGAATCAGACTCGTCATCTGTGTTCATCAGGTAGAGGTAGGGTTGCTTGAGATTGACAAGTTGTAAACATACCTAGTGTTTGGCTCCTAAGATGCCTAAGATGCTATTCATGAGACTACTTAGACATAGAAGATAGCGACGGCAACACGATCGTTGACCACCAGCACTACACTTCCAGCAGAATAGTGAAACATTGTACTTCTAAAGGCTTAAATTAGCCAATTGCCACTGGTTGTTGACCAAATGGATTATGTATGGTAAGTGGTGATCAGTGGGCGAGGTTTTCTAGGCCTGCCACAAATTGGCATATCGACTCATGTGGTTTATTTTCGGAGCCCAGTGCCGCTTCATCATATCGATGGGAAACGAGGTGGTGAAATAGGATATGCGTACCGCTATATTAAATCACTATTCGCTGATTAGTTTTGGCGTCTGCGACAACAAAAGCGAGTATATAGTGTAAAAGTTGGAAATAGTTGAATCAGATAACAGCCAGTTTTTTTCGTCAAAGACCTAGTCTCAGTCGGTAATTTCCAGCTATGCCGAAGCATAGAAACGATCATCATAATAAATTGAGGGCGGGTAATGTGAAGTGATAGAGAAGACACGTACCGAGAGTTACGGGTTTAGCGAATCGGTCACGTACATCCAGACACCGGGCCTGGTTGAACGTTCTACACAGTCATACTGTTGCGCTTTAACTGTATGGAAGGCCTGAGTACAAGACAATTAGCATACACACTCGCGCCGGTATTGGGGATTCGAGAGCTGTGTTCGTATTGCTGGCTCAGACTGACGTGTAAAATCAGTTTCATACCTCAAAAGAGGTCAAAGACTCTAGTTTGCGGTTTACATGGTGTCATCAGAGAAAGGAAGATGTGCTTCTGAGGAATTGCAAGTACTTACAGCTTTGCGCATTTGTGGTTGACGAAGTGAGCAGGTTGAAGAAAGAGAGGGAGCTTCCAAATTTGATTAAATACTAGCAAGATTTTTAGAAAATCAGAAAGAAAGCTTGGGCCATAAAAACTAGACGCGGCACGGTGTTCGATTGGCTGGCTGAGGGGGTGGGGGAGGGGACCAAGGTACCTTTTGTGGGGGCGATTTGAGTTGCCCTGGTACCCATCGGAAAAAGGAGAATCCCTCCCCGATGTTCCCACATTATCCTCTATTCTCCTTGACAGCTGGGTTCAGGTGTCAGTGGCCCGCGTGGTCTTTTCCCCAACACGGCGAGCTAGTTAGTCGGTGCAGAGTCGGTGGAACAAAAGATGAAGACAAGTCCTTGTCTCCCCTTGTTGTTCAGGCCAGGGGCATTGATCGTACCTAGCGAGCCTTACTCCGTACACAGTAGCGCCCTTTTGACTCGGCGGGGTTCCCGTGCGTCATATGCGTCACCTGCGCATCAGAATTGAAAGGGCAGTAAGCCTAGACCCAACCCGATGCCTTGTACCCAGTCTCACCAGTCCACGATATCGTCAGCTGCAACGCCGCAGCTGTGTCCTGCCATGCGATTCTGCTTCCGACAGCTGCTATTGGGAGCACGAGGTCTTACTATGTGTAAATGTCTTTGTCATGGTCTATCAATAGCCGGCCCTGCTTGACCCCAGCCGCCTACTCTGCCACTGTGCGCTGCTCAGGTACCTACCTTACTTATGTTCGGCATTGGTGAAGTGACGTATGACCGAGGTTGACCGACATCTCCCGCATCGGTAGAGTGCTTAGCGACTTCGAGAGCACGATGCGGCTTGACCCGGGAAATCCTCTTTTCCAACGGCCCAAACCACCCGCAATCCCACGCTGTCAGTGCTCCGTTATACCGAGCCAGTGTCTCGCTGCTCCCTCTCCCTCTCCCTCTCCGTCCTGCCGCCCCGACGTGAAGATGTGGGGAGGGGCAGACGTGGTGGGGGGGTTGGGCGAGTTGGGTTATCTCCCGTACAGTATGAGTGATCTCCATGACTCCGTAGAACTATTATAAACTCCCCAGCTACTCCCGCCGGCCCCTTTCAGGAACGTCACGATCTTCTGTTCTGTCTGCGGTTGCTCGTAAGCAATTCTCCATACTATTTGGCCCTAAGTCAGACCCAGTCTTGGTTCTTCCTATTACGTCTTCCCTCTTTCATCAGTGAAACCCAATTGTGTTGCTCATCGATCAAAATAAACAAAGCCACTCTGCTTTTTCCTCGTTCCCTTCTCACTTCTTCTTCATACCACCTCAGAAACTCGTCGCGGCAAGCACCCGGATCTTGGGCCTTAAAACAGAACAATCCTACTATATCAATTAGACCTATCTGCTCATAATCATGGCGAACGATACAAACATGACGCACAATATGCCTCCTTCCGAGTCCACAAGTGTGAACACAAACATCGTCACATTAACTCGATTCTTAACGGAAGAGCAAACAAAACACAAAGAAGCCACAGGTGATTTCACGTAAGAGCTCAATGTCCCGCTGTCTTTGGATAGTCTTCCAAGCAATCGAGTACTGACGTTAGGTTTGTGTAGATTGCTCTGCCATGCCCTCCAGTTCTCCTTCAAAGCCATTTCATACTACATTCGCCGTGCAACTCTAGTCAACTTAACGGGTCTCGCTGGACAAGCCAACGCGACGGGTGATGACCAGAAGAAGCTAGACGTTATTGGAAATGATTTATTCATTGCAGCCATGCGCTCGTCAGGCAAGTGCGCGCTGCTAGTGTCCGAAGAGGAGGAAGAAATCATATACTTCCAGGACGCCACATCTGGGGCACGATATGCTGTGGCATGCGACCCAATCGACGGTAGCTCCAACTTAGATGCTGGTGTCTCGGTCGGCACAATCTTCGGTATTCACAAGCTAGCCGAGGGCTCCAAGGGTACGAAAGAGGACATCTTAAGACCTGGTACTGAGCTACTAGCCTCTGGGTTCACCATGTACGGTGCCTCGGCACAGTTAGTCATCACTATGAAAGGTGGCACTGTCAACGGCTTCACATTAGATAACTCGTTTGGCGAGTTTATCCTGACACACCCTGATATGAGAATCCCCAAGAAGCGAGCCATCTACTCCGTCAACGAGGGTAACTCATTATACTGGGAGGAAAACACAAAGTCGTACTTCAACTCGCTGAAGCACCCCCAAGACGATGGCAAGCCATACAGTGCGCGTTACATCGGTAGCATGGTAGCTGATGCCTACCGAACTTTACTATACGGCGGTATCTTCGCTTATCCCGCCGACAAGAAGAGCCCCAAGGGCAAGCTTCGCATTCTGTACGAGTGTGCGCCCATGGCTATGGTATTTGAAAACGGTAAGCGTCCATTCTACTTCGCAATATGTACCCCCCGCGCAAGGCTAATATTGGGATGTAGCTGGTGGCCAAGCCATTAACTCGAAAATGGAGCGGATGCTCGAGGTCACGCCGGAGAGCATTCACGATCGCTCGGGTATCTACCTAGGTAGTTACGATGAGGTGGAGAAAGTGAAGAGCTTCCATAAGTAGACGACATCAGTTAGTCTGTCGTAGGTAGGCCTTCCATGTGGGCCCCTCAGCTTAATGGCCTAGCCATAGATGCATGGCCAAGCTAGCTAGCCTGCCGGGCTAAAGGGAAGATTGCGGCAGGGTTGGCTCATGATAAGACTTGACAGACCACTCTGGTTAGCAAGTCTATGTATGATGTATTCATATCTGAATCATTAAAAAAAAAGATATTAATCCTGAAAATGCCTACGTGATCCCCGCTCATTGTTATGATTTGGACGCTAGAATATTACGTTAATGGAAACCCCATTACATCTTGCGTGAACCCCTTGGTGGGTGTGTCCCCTGGGTAGTGTCTATCATATAAAATACCTACGATTATCAAGTTGCGCCATGCCACATAAGAGTGAATCTGGAATATATGTCTTTTGCTCATCATCATGTACAAATACCATGCTAATACATTTAAACCGAGCTACTATCGTCACGCCAGCTACTCGCATCGCTCTCCCCGAGGCGATATCCTCGCCCATATCCCCGCAGACTAAATGATGTATGAATACCCCCCCAGTCACCGGATCCGACCTACCGACCCGTGGTAGAGAAGGCTATTTTCACATCGGCCCGTGGCCACTCGAATAGGACATCGCCACCGTACACCGTCGTCGTGATAGTCGAGATGCGCACCTCGACCTCGTTATAGAATTTCTCACATTCTCGCAACACGCGATTGACTAGTTCCCGACTCAGACTTGGGTCGTCCGCGTCGCCGAAATGTTTCTCAACCCGCTTGCGTAGCGCTTCAATGCCCTTGCGAACTTCGCGCCCGTCATACGCACTTAGGATTTTGTTGAACGTTGCCTTGGAATTGCTAGGCTGTGCGGCGATGATTGTAATGGTCTTTCCTGACGCGATCTGGGCCTCAAGGTTTTCTAGATACTCTAGTAATTTTCCTAGGGGCCTGCGCATTACGGCATTGAGATATAGACCCATGTGCTCCGCCATCTCGCTAGCAGCAGCTTCCTTCCAATCTTCAAGTACCTCAAGACCATGAGTATTAAGTTCTTCTGAAAAGTGGTTCATATTTTCAATCAGGAGAATGTGATAGTTCAGCGCCTCTTTGTCCTCGGGGTCAGCACCGCTGCTTGTTAGTGTTGCCGGGTTCTCTCTAGCAATCACTTTGAGAGAGTCAAACATGGATTTGATGATTCGCTCATATTCCCTGTCTACGGCTCGTCTAACAGAAGACGCCGTATCTGTCATCGAAAGCATGTTCTCAACTGCGGCAGAGAAATTTGGGAATACGCGCATGAAAGAGATAACGCCTTTGCGCTTCTTGATTTTTACTTTTGTGTCTTCGATCGCGCGAATTTGTTCTTCGACAAACTTGGAAAAGCGAGATTCAAGAGTTCCGTTAAGTTTCTGAAGAACATTGTTCAAGAAGTCCTGGTTGGATGATGTCATCTCTACTTGTTTGCGCTCTAGGACGGCTAGAATGCCAACTCCTTGCCTAGCAGAATGTTAGTGGGGTATCTAAACTGAGAGAAGAATGGAAGAATGCGTACAATGGATCCTGTGCCAGAACCCAGAGGATCAGATTCTGAAGGTCCTGCTCCAAAAAGATAAATATGGCCTCCATTGCTCGAGTGACCCTCCTGGCCAAATCACGGTCAGGCTCCATGAGCCGGTGGCGCTTCAAGTCACCACCTTGTCGGTCGCGTGGCCGTGTCATCGCTACTAGGTCTGGGAAATCTGCGGTCTCTAAGGTTGTGGCATGAAAGAAGTCGACAATGAAATTTTGCTCGATAGCAACAAGAGGGAGTAGATCGTCCATAACGCCAGCAAAGATTTCATAAGGATGACTGCGACCATCTTGTCCTTTTTCAGAATTCGTCTTGCTCCCCTCACCCAGAGGCCTACCTAGAGTCCTCGCTAAGGTTTGACTTCGCTTGACAGTGACTCTTCTGGCTGTTGCCATTGTGCCTTCTTGCTGTTTTTCTATCTGGGCTGTGAAAAGTAGTACTGATTCCTCGCTTGCTGGTTTCCTTGCGTTTCGCTTCCATACCTCCAGGATGTCCTTGAATTGCGATCGATAAAGGGGATTATTCTTTTCTTGATAGATGTGGAGATACCGATCCCACTCTCCCAGGTTCACTTCCCGAGCGTACAAAATTAACGGATGATATTGCCAGAGCAGAGCCCGTCCGGCGTCATGGTTCCGAGGATCAACCTTCTTGGACAAGGCACCAGCAATGGCAGACTTGGTCTCTTGGATGGCTTTGTCGAATTGACGAGACATGAAACCACCTAATCGATTTAAGAAAAACTTAGTTTCTGACAAATACATTTCCTTCTTTTCCTGGACAATGCGCATCTTGCCATAATCGGGATTGAGACTTGTCTGTTGTTCATTCATGCTTGTGTCTTCGCTTTTTCGCATATCTGGTCCTGCCACAGAAGGATCAATCTTCATCATCGCTTTATAGAGGGTGACTAGTGCCCCTTCAATTTCTTCCAGCCCAGAAGCAGTCTCCAATGGGGCTGTCTTGAGCGGTTGTAGATCATCGGCAGTGATGGCACAGATATCTAGAAGTGACTCTAACTCGTTGCGAAGCAGCTTCTGATTCGCTGCCTGTACTTGGAGTCCTTGCCCTTGGGCTTCTATGTAGGCAATGTCATCGGACAATGTCTAGGCCTTGTCAGAATCCAATTCATATTACGGAGAAATTCCTTACTTACCGAAAGTTCCACACTATATAGCGTTAAGAGGTTATCAAGCTCATCACATTCGGTAATAGCGGCATCTAGCCCGGTTTTGATAGCATCAACCCTCTCGTCTTCTTCTTGGAAGCGAGCAACCCAGCCACCAGCTTGTGCTTTATTGAGTTCCCGTTCAATATCCAGTTTCATCTCATCATAATTGCGAGATCGCATTTGGTTGCCTGGCACCCAGCCGAAATGGTCTAGCCATCTGGCGAACTCCATGGCTGTATCCGCTAGGAGGGTAGTATCTACACCCAGGGCGGAGAAATACTTAGTATCATTTCCAGTGATGGCTATCCGTTGTGCCTCCTCCTTTTTGCGTGTTTCTTCAAGCTGTTTCATTTGGACTTCTTTGGGGGTAATTTCCAGACTTGTAGGTTGACTGGAGCTAGGCACTGTGATCTTAACCTCAGGAACAGATACCGGTTTATCATCAGATTTTTGCGTGGGTTCGACGGGTTTGGATACCTCAGCCTGAGGTGTGGGACGAGGAGGAGCAGGTACTACGCTGGTAATGCCATCTGGGCCCTCCGCGATGGCCTTTTTTGCGGCTTCTCGTAATCGCTCTCCCGCCCCCCCTGGTCGAGGCTTAAAGGTGCCTGCAGCCGAGGCAGCTTTCCATAATGTACCTGCTAGCTTTTGCTGGGATCTTTTTGCTTTGATCATAGGTCCCAACCCTGGTCGTGTTTCTTCTTCATTGGGTGAACCAGTAGATGAAGCTTCTGGTGCTGGGTTTTCAGATATGGAAGCGTCCGTGGTACCATTCAGACTGTTATCCATAATGGTTGAGACTTCTTTGGCGGGCTCAGATGCCAAATCTGATTTTTCTGTCCGGCTACTCTCAGGGCGACTCTCACCCAAGTCATTTCGAGCTACAATTCGTTCGCTGCTCCGGGGTGGGGGTTCTCTTCGACTACCCTGGCTCATCAAAGGTGCGGGTACTAGATCATTGTCCGTAGCGCCTTGAGGCCGGAGAGGATCCATTGGTGGCCTTTTCCTGTCTGGGAGATCTACTTGAGAAGGGGGCATATCTGGGGGATCCCCGAGTCTCCCAGGAGGTCCAGATCCCGATATGCCACCGCGAGATCGCGGTGGGATACTACCGGCATCGTCACTTTTTGCTGTGGTAAATGACGCTGCGAGAGAATCCTGACTTTTATTTGAAGCTAATTTCCGTAGGGCAGGGGGTTGGTTGGAAATGCGGCCTGATTCAACACTCGGAGATGGAGAAGAATTGCCGTTTGGAGGCCCAAAATTACGAATTGATGGTGTTGATGGCTGTTGACTAGGTCGAGGACTAGGGAACGAAGCAGGTGTCGTCTGTGCGGGTGATGACTCAACCCATAATGGCTTCGGTTCAGGTCGCGAGCGTGATTGAGGTCGGGAATCTGGTCTTGATGGGGGTCGGGAGGGAGCTCTCGGGGGAGGTAGGCCATCGGGCCGTGAAGAGGGTATTGGGACTTTGGCATCAGGTCGGGGAGGAATGGGCGACGGCCGCGGAGGGGTACCCGTCTGTTCGGGTCGCGGGAGACCAGCATCATAGGGAGGTGGTGGTTGTCGGGGTGGCGGCGGTTTTCGCGAACCGAGGACTTGGTCTTGTTCACGAGGATCAAAGCCCCTCAGCTCTGGCTGGCCACCGCCAGTGTATTTACCATATATCTTGATCAGACTTGCAATGAAGAATTTCTTCTCTTTATCCGCATGGGCCTGCCAGTAGTACGGTTTCCCAATATTAACGATGAAACCGGTGTCGCCGGCCCATTGCCGCTTCTGTGGTTCGACAGTGGACGCAGTGAACGATTCAATTGCGGTGAGCTCGTTAAGATCCCATGTTTTCCCAATGGAAAAAGTTCCATTTGCATTCTCTTTAGATTTATGCATGCGCACGCGGCCCGACTTCCGCACAGATACGATAATGACGCGGGGCTTCTCTGACTCCCTTCGACTTTCAGGTGGAGGAGGGCTTGTCGGATGCGATGCGTACTCGGTAATACGAATGTGAGTGATGTAAGTTTCTAGGACTGGCAACGCGCGAGAACCCGTGTTAGCGAGCGAGGATATTTACGTGACACAGTGATTGGAATTGTCATACTAGACCCATCTGTGTCCTTCTTGTTGAAGCAACTCTCGACAATGCGCCGCTTCTCTTCCTCAAACTTCTCGGCCCTGCTCATGTCACGGCCGAGGCCTGGGCCCGGGCCACCTCGCTGCCGGGGGGCATCCATTGGTCACTTCTCTCAAGATAGGGAAGACTCATGAATATTACAGCGCGTTCATCGAAAGATGTGAGGAGGTTTGTGAAGCATTTTCGATGGTCATCTACGCAGCTGCGCCGACCGAGCCCGAACGGATGCGAAAGTAGCGACGGGGATCCCAAGACGAATCGTATGCGTACTGTTGTCCTGTCCGGTCTGATAGAAATCACGCTGTAGATGTAATGAATCAACAGATGGATTGGTGAAATGTGCGTTCACATCTATATCAAATTGGGCGACGGTGGAAGAAATCGGCTTCAAGGCAGAAAACGCCGTCCGTAGCCCAGGTAAGTGCTTAGGTATGTCGCTGGTGTTGATGACCTCTCTACTTAGCAGTGTAGGTACAGCACCGAGTACAGGTCACTGTGAGACAGCGATTTGACAAGCCCCTGGGAAGTCTGTTACAGGGTGCCGAGGGTGCTTAAGGTTCTCTCCTATTAATTTAGCGTCGACTTTGAGCACCATCGAGTCCAAGGCTAGGTACATAAGGGATGTGGGTACCTAGGTACTTGTTAGGTACGGCAAAGCGACACGTTACCTACTGGGCCACAGATAAAGGTATAATTACTTACCTTATAGTGCCTACTTAGGTAGTAGGGGTTAGGTTTCTTATCTGCCTACGACTGTAGATGATTGCCTTAGCAATATGTTGGATTGAATAGGTATATGAAATGCTCCTCTATGAGAGTGAATCGATCTCAACCATCAGATTTTGTATTTTTCCATGATCTCTTTCACCCTGTCCAGTGGCAGCGCCTCAATCTTGTGACCCAAGTTGCCGACCATTGTCTCTGCCATGCAAACAGCGTTGTAGATTGCCTCCTCCGTGGCCTCTGCTGCTGCTTCAAAAAGTCCATTGATTGATGAATCGTCCACCACTTCTGCCGCGAATGGTGTTGGCTTCCATGGATCCACCTCACGTCTGTCCATGGAGATCGTCTGTACCGGGATACGATTCCCAGTCGAGAATGCGAGGAAGATGTCGCCGCTAGGGTTATGCCCTCTACCGCCCACCCTCGCAAGTCCAACAGTTGCTCTCTTGGCTAGACGCTGGAGCTGGGTTGGGTGTAGGGGTGCGTCTGTAGCCAGAATCACGATTATACTTCCATCTTTGCGTTCTTTCTCCCTTTCAACATCCTCCCGGGCCGCCTTCTTCTCGGCGTCTTGCTCTGCCGCTTTGGCCTCTTCCTGGTCCAGAATCCTGCCAACAGGAACGCCTGAGATTCTAAAGTGAGGCTTCTTGCCGTAATTCGCTTGAACCAAAGCGCCAACGGTGTAATTTTTTGGCTCTCCCTTTGTGTTTAATCCTGGAACCACTCGGCTACTGCTACCGGTACCGCCCTTAAAATAGTCTATACCAATAATTGTCAGTAATTCCGCGGTACAGGTAAACGGCGAAGAAATACTGCGCTGGCCTGTTAACAGCACTCCCCTCTTCAGAACTTACGGCATATCATGCCCGTACCACCACCAACGCAGCCTTCCCGCACCCGGTCGCTTGATACATTTTCCAACCCCTTCACGATGTGCGCAGGTGTGATCGGAAATTGTGTAAGATCATTTAGGTAACCGTCGAATGTCTCGGCAACAATGGGCAAGAGAAACCAGTCCACCTGGCCCTTATTCGTTCCCTGGGATTTGATTGCGTATTCGTACTATAACTCAACAGAGTCAGTGTTCGTTTTCTTGGTGACATAGAGACTAGTTTAGGGAGTTCCGTGAGATATGGTTGTCACTCCAGCACGTACTATGCCTTGATACGCTGCACCGACGGCAAAAGAGTTGGTTATAATGATGGGCGAATGCAACAATCCGGTCTCGTTGATCCAGTGACTGCCAGTCATCTCGCCAGATCCATTGAAGCTGAAAAGCCCGGCGTAGCAGGCATCGTGAAACCAATCTTTTCGTGGCAGAATGCTCGTAACCCCGGTATTTACGTTACCGTTGTCAGCTAGGATTTCCTGGGTGTTTACTAGAACACCGGGAACATCGGTTATCGAATTAAGTGTGCCGGGCGCCCAATCTCCGAGATGAAGGTCGGGAAGAAGCTCGCGGACCCGCATCCGAGGCGACTTGTTAGCCGTCGAGGTGTTTGAGGTCGTCATGCTGAGTTCTCACAGACTAATTCTCTCAAAACATACAGACTATTGCAAGAGATGATAACTTTACTTCACCTAGGCAGCATCACCCGAGAAACCGCTGGATACCTCATCTTTATAACTGATTGACCCCCCTCTCAATTGCAGAACCAACTCTAAAATATGCTCCAATTAGAGTATACGGCGAGTTGAGTCATTGCCGGACTGAGAGACTAGGGATCTATATGGGCGATTGGTCAGTATCGAGGAATATCGCACCATATATGGAATCACCGATCGCTTGAGCACGATAATCACAGCTGGGACCCTCTGATAACCGCATTTCGCATTACCAATCGCTTCATTTTATTCAATGATGTACTACATAGAAGAGCTATACCTACCTACTCTTGACATCCTAGGTATTTGCGGAAAGCTTCCGAATTCACTTTTCTTTGTGTCATGCGGAGACTTCCCCTCCTCATTCAGCCACCTAGATTCTCCCCCACACGAACTACCCCACACGAATAGTAACCTAGGTAGGTAGTGCCGCATTGGGGACGGCTTATTTGGAGAGGTACTGTTCTGGTCACGATAGCCGAATATTATACCGCGGCTGGAGTTCGTCATGTGTGGTTGCACAGCGGTGTGTGGCAGTGGTTCCATCATCCAAGTCCATATCAAAGCGCATATCTCAAGTGCAAGCGTGATATTCAGCTAGGCGCGGGTCTGAGTTTCAAGGCTCGTGGAATCCTCAGTGACCCAAATAAAGTATAACACATAGTGTTGACTCCGCTTACCACGATGAGTGCCGCGATTCGTGTGGTCCCGAGTGTAAGTGCACTGCAAATCTCATCCAACGCCGAATGAGCCCAGCTTAAAGCAACACCCAACAGGCCGCGACTCGAGCTACGAGTCTCTTGAGAACAGTTCAGTTCACACATCCTCCGAACTGTCCATGTCACTCGAATCCGGGATACCACCAACGTCATGCCCGGCCACAGATCGAATCTTATGCCCAGCGGACTCGAGAGACCGGAAGACGCGGCTTCGCCTCTCCCATGGACCCTGCCCAGCAAAAAGAGTACGCCTTTGAGATGGCTGCATCCTCAATTCGATTCGGGCCCGGCGTAACTCAGGAAGTTGGCATGGACTTCGCCAACATGGGCGCCAAACGGGTGTGTGTCGTCACCGACTCCACCGTGAGGCGCCTGACTGCTGTCAAGCAAGTTGAGGAAGCTCTGTCCAGGGAAGGCATTAACTATGAAATCTTTGACAAGGTGCGAGTCGAGCCCAAAGATAGTTCGTGAGTGGCCTCTAGCCTCCTTGGAACCAACAGCCAAGCTCACACATACTGCAGAATCAAAGAAGCCATAGCATTTGCGAAGCCTTTTAAGGCAGACGCATTCTTAGCTGTCGGCGGAGGCTCCGTGATAGATACCGCTAAGTTGATGAACTTATATACTGAATACCCCGAGGCGGAGTTCTTGGACTTTGTAAACGCGCCTTTAGGTAAAGGAAGGCCAATCGATAAGAAACTGAAACCTTTGGTCGCTATTCCTACGACAGCCGGCACAGGTAGCGAGACTACGGGCACGGCCATCTTCGATCTGGTAGAAAAGAAAGCGAAGACTGGTATCGCACATCGTAATTTGAAGCCGACGCTTGGTATCTGCGATCCGCTCAACACCAAGACTATGCCAGCTGCTGTGAAGGCAAGCTCTGGGCTGGATGTCCTGTTTCACTCGCTGGAGTCTTGGACAGCGATACCTTTCAATGAAAGAACTCCCCGACCAACAAACCCGATCTTGAGACCGGCATATCAGGGCGCCAATCCCATTAGCGACATATTTTCCTTGAACGCCTTAAAAAGTACTATCAAGTACTTGCCACGCTCGGTCAAAGACCCTGAGGATTACGAAGCACAAAGTGAGATGCTTCTCGCTGCTACTTTAGCAGGCGTTGGTTTCGGCAATGCGGGCGTTCATTTATGCCATGGTAAGTGACTTGATGTGTAGCCGTCTGACGGAGAACTTGTTAACCTTTCCATAACCAGGAATGTCCTATCCAATTTCCGGCCAAAACCCAGGCTACAAGCATGCAGGCTACGAGGTCGCATCGCCTATTATTCCCCATGGTGTCACAGTAGCCGTGACTGCTCCGGCGGTATTTCGGTTCACAGCGCCATCAAATCCCGACCGCCACCTAGCAGCTGCCGAGGCATTCGGAGTTGACATTACGAATGTGAAGCGCGAAGATGCCGGAGAGGTTCTAGGAGAGGCTGTAGCGAAGTTCCTTGCCGATCTTGGTGATCAGCCCAATGGTCTGAAGGATCTAGGTTTTACTAGCGGGGATATCGAAAGTCTCGTCGAAGGTACCATTCCTCAAGCAAGAGTGCTTATGCTAGCACCGGGATTGGCAAAGGAACTCGAGCATGAAAGGGACCAGCTGAGAAGATTATTTGAAGATTCTATGACGCACGCGTAGATTTCTAGCATTCCAATCTCGGAATACAATAATAGCATCGCTCGAGCTTGTCATGCAAATCCCTATGAATGTCATGTACTCGCCCCTTTTTCTTGTATTCACGGAACTCCATGCGCATTTAATAGACATTGGACCCTCCCCAAAAACCTGCTGTTATTCTTTTTGAGCAATGCAGACATGGGCAGTCATCTCCAACGTGCATGTATCTCGTTCGCGCGCGGTAAGCTGCTTCGCTAGCTCTTCCTTCCACCTACTCATCTCATCTTGGCTCCACCCCTTACAGAACTGAGCCGTCCATAGTGGTGAGCTTGCGGCGTCGAGTAAGTCTGTAAGAGATTCGTGGCTCCAGTTCGGTGCCGCTTCATGGACCCTCAGGCTATCGGCCTTGAAACCGCCCGCCTTAACGACATTGACTAAATGCTCACTTGTTGACCACTTCGGGTCGACATCCACTATAATTCACAAGTCAGTACCACCATTTCAAGAGCAAAGTTGAGGTTCTAAGGTCGCAAATAGCTCAAAGCATGCCGTTCAGCCCAAGCACAGGGCTGCATGCATCGGAAGGAACAGGGATAGCGAAAATATTGTCCGGAGAAGTAGTCACTTACTTGCTTTCCCCGCGCCAACACCCGGTCGGATAGTCTCTGCAGTCCGGCTCATGATTTCCTGGGGCCGACGCGTCTTCCACGTCGTTAAAACTATGTGGCCGTTGGGTTTCAGCACGCGACACATCTCCCGTACACCAGCCACTGCATCAGAGAGCATGAAAATACCAAGGCCCATCACCACTGCGTCAAACGAGGCGTCAGGGAAACGGGAGAGGTCCTGTGAGTCTTGCACATAAGCTTCAGAGGTAGTCCAGCCTAGGGCGGCCGCATTGATCTTATATTGTTCGATCATTGGTTCCGAGAGATCTATCGCCGTCACCTGTGGCGGAGGATTGACTGGCAGACCTTTCACGGCGATATACTCGGGTAATGGTGATAAAAGAAGCTTGGTTACAATCCCGGGCCCGCAGGCAGAGTCAAGGATCCGGGTGGCTGACGTGTAAGTTGAGAGTGGAAGGTACGATAGAGCGGCGGCTGAGAGGCGCGTACTTGTTTCTCCCACCATTTTCTCATATAGAGCACCGCGAGAGAATACCGAGTTCTCGGTATCTACTTTCGTGCTTGTGGACGCCATGTTGTAGGTGTATTGTCTCTTTGGTGTATAAAAAGATGAGATAGGGAAGTGGCGGCGACAGGACCTTGAAATCATGCGGGAAGCCAGGTTGCTGTAGTTGTTGTGATTGTTCTTTAGGAATCTAAAGACAGACAGTTATCCGATAAATAGCTGCTTTTATGTGTTGCTGTCGGAGACATTTCGTGGTGAGCCAGCTGATAAAATGTCCGAAGCGTCCGGGTGCTCGGGGACTTTCACCACAACATTGACGGGCTCCTTTGAGGGTCTCACGAGCCCGTTGAATAACAATGCGACGGGAGCTACTCTACATTAAATTGATGGTTTCGGATCTGCGCATAGCTATAACAGTTCTCTATGGTATCCAAAGAGTATGTCATCAATGTTGGTAAAGTAGGCAATAGATTGAAGATCGTAGGATTATGATAGGATCATGACCCCGGCAGCGATATGGAAAGATTCTTTTCGTCTTAATGCTCATGACCACGCCCTGAACTGTATAATGTAAGTAGTGAACATGGTTCACGTTGCTCACTCATATGGACCTGCAAGATATTTTCAGCCTTGCCCATCCACTAACGATAATTAGCACCTATCGCCTTTGCGAAGGAACTTCGACAATGAATGTGTGACTGCATTTATCTCGTGTCAAAACTTGTTATAATAGAACTAACATGGCGAAGTAGTTCGCGCCCACAATCATGCCACCTAGAGAAGGAATGGACATTTCTCAATACTCCCTTGCTGATTCTCGTCGAAAGCATGGGCACGCATTTAGATGCAGTCTGAAAGAAAACGAGAGTTTTGAGACCGATTTCACCGGGGCTTCCGTGGAGGAATGCGGAACCTGGACGCTCCAGCAGGTGACCAATTCTAACACATTGTACGACAACGTCATGGCTATCCTCGACGCACACAGTGCAGAAGACCATATCATCACTTTGCGGTATCTACTGCTCGACATATAGTCAGTCACCTTTTCTAGTTCGTAACAAGGAAGCCAACACTTGGTACCCATTTCGAGTTCATTATACCAAGGTTAATGCGCTCTGAGATGAGTTCACAGACGAAGGTTGTTCGTCGGAGATGTGTGACATTTTGTTCAGGCGTAAAGACGAGTATATCGGTCAAAACGGGGTATTTAACGTAGACAAGACCAAAGAGCCTATCATGAAAGGAGAAGGGGTACTCTTGCCGGAAGATCAGTATCAAGATAGGGTAGATGAAGAATTTAGAGAATATTAGCAAGACTCCAAGCACTATAGGAAAAGTCAGTCTCTAAAAGCTTCAAAAACTGTGTTAGACTAGAAGTATTTCATTGAAATTCAAATGATTTCTTAGGTCCTATATCATACATACGCTTTGAATAAAAAATGTAGTCACCGATAGCTTGTCGCGCGTGTACAAGCTGAACATGCTGCTCGCCTTCATCTAGGGGCGTAATGCAGGCGGTTAATGATATTCGGGGACACGCAGGCATATTGCAAGGGAGGAATACAGGCTTCGCTTCACGAAACATCGCGAATAGCTTCAACGCCAAGTCCAGATCTCTGCCCTTGTTATAAATCCCACTCAGACCTGATCAACAAGCACCAGGCGACGTTTGCCAGTAGCACTAAACCACTTCCGAAAGAATCAACAACTGCTTACGGATAATTACTGACTTTGGTTACCTCATGAGTATTGAGAGTGAGAGTTGCGAAAGCCATAATAGCTCTGAAGTTTCGTAAGTTGTTTCTGTTCATAGTACATAATGATGGTCTAGATGGACAAGCAGAATGAATATAATCAGGCCTGGTAGCAGGGCTTGGGATCGAGACTATTCACAATCAAATATTTACTAAGGCTGGAAAGATCCTTGACCACGGTGATTAATTTAACTCGATATACTATTATACGGCCTTTGCCGGCCTCTGTAAAATTAAAGCCTGAGAGTGTCTCTGTCTAATGAACATCTGTATGACTGTATATTATCTTGTATTTTCGTATGCTTCAAAGAGACCTTCTCAACGTTCTTGTATGCTTTGAAATCTGTAGGCAATAGTTCTGTTCTCACTCGAAGAATATGTGCTCGCCGAATGTTTAGTTGGTCTTCAGGCTACTTGCATAGGTACATCGTCGCATCATTAGTGGTCATGCAGGTCTGGAAAGCAGGCCACTCGCAATCCTTTGTATAAGGAGGGCAGTCGAGAGGACATAGGCCCTATAAAGACAGTGTTAGCATAACGGCATTCTATTGAACCATAGTGTGGATGTCGAAATATCCCTTCGCGACAAGACCGAGAGAAGAAATAGTCACTTACCCCATCGATTTCTGCATAGCGGTGGTAGGCTAGGAAGGGATCCCCATCGACAGCGGAAAGATCAAACCACGCTTTGCCCAATTCAAGGTTCAGCTCCATCTGGAAGGGCCCTTGGATTTGCTCGTTCAAGGCGCATTTCAGCACGGCCCCGATGTTGTCGTTGTTCGCTGGCAGTGGTGACTGGTAAAGCTGGCCAGACCGCACCTGGACAGTGGGAGAGAAAGTGCCATCATTCTTTGCACCTCCACAATATATTTCAAAGGGGCAAAGATTCAGAACTTTGAGATACGCCGCAGATGCCGGAGGTGCCAAGGAGAGGAGGCAAAGGGCTGCGAGATTGAGAACTCGAGGCATCTTCCAGTGTTGGGTTTAGGTCTACCTTGGAGTAGGTAGTTAGTGACGGTGGATATATGATGCTCAGTGCGAGAATTCGTGCGGTGGATAAAAGAAAATCAACATTGGTCTTGCGTGAATTATCAAGGCGGCTTGATAGCTGTGTCGTTGTCCAGGAGGGCTTCTATGCAGCGTAAATCAAGCCATTCTCTCTCAAGCGAATTTGAACTTACCTTGATTTCCTTGGCTAGAGTCCGACAGATCCGCCATGAGCTATTTTTCTCTACATTAGTACAAGCTGCACTGTCGCAAGTCTTGATTTGGTAGGAAGCTAACTTGTTGATTGCGCATACTTATCGACATAAACTCTATGTCAAAGCGATGCGCTCAAGGTACAATCAAAATCATGGACATAGGGATTAAGCGGCCAACATCATAGCTCGTAGACCGCTTTTAACTGTTACCACTGAGATATGATGCTTTATGGGGAGTATCTCCTAAACTATAATTAATTACCGTATACGTATTCGGGACTTCTATAAGGACCTCAGTGTATGTATATTGCTAAATACTGTTTAGCGTTCACCCAATGCCAAAGGTGCGTTTATAGAGTTGGACACAGATATCTCGTCTGAAGCATCTTAGGTTCTTACGCCCCTGGCGCTAAGCAGAGAAAAACTTATATAAGTGGTGATACGTGCCATACTACGCAGTTCTCTACACTTTCATCTGTCAGGTACTAATAGGGCAGTTACAACATAGAGTTGCAACAGCCATCCTGAAAGGAGCCAACAGGGTGAATCTCAAGATCTGGTCGCATGATACTATTGATCGCTACCTACTACCTATACTTAGCTACCATGTCTTGGTGTGTGCGCTTTAACTTTAACCATAGTGAAGACTGACGTTTCGAACACCCCAAATCCTGTTATGCTGTTATATGACCAAGTTTGATGTAAAGTCAAACACCGTAGACTGTTTCTAAGCAACCTCGCTTTGGGCAGTTAGGTGTTCCATCCCAACAAACGGCTCATGCTTCTGCTTTGACATACTCTCAGGATGAGCACTGGCAATAGCTTCAATTGTATGCAGCGCGAATCTTAGCAATTTATTTTCGTAAGATCTATGCATATGTTAAATTGTTAGACAGTTCTTCAATTCTTTCCCTGTTAATAGAATTCACCTTGGAATACCCATCACAATGCGGTGGAGAATAAGTACTGTTAGACTTTGCACGTCGCAGATGGTCAATTTGATAAGTTGCGACAACACCCTTATTGTCAAGGGATTGTATTGAAATTGTAGATGGGAAGATTGGCCTAGGGCCTTAGCACTGTAGCTAAGTACTTAATATATACATGGTGTAGATGATATCTGCCTACCTACTCTTATGTGCTTGAGTAAATACACCTCACACCTTATATTACACATGGTATAAAACACCGACTTAGCGCGGCAAGCACTAATGAAGCTGAAATCTAGGGGTAACGGTAGAAAATATCAGAGAATAGAGGGCGATAATATCTAGTTTTAGAGTATAATACCTAGACTCTATATTCGGGTCGTTGAATGTGAGTGTATTAGGTCGGACGTGACTCTTTTCAGCGGTTAAGGAACGATAATAGGAGCGTAGTACTATCACCGCTACGCTACCAAAAGGCAAACGACGTACGTAATCAGATCGAGACCCTGCGTCTTTATACTCAACTATAGTACTGTAACACCAGCCGAGAAGGCTGGAGGCATGCAGTTCTCTCTTCGGCCATAGAATTAAAATACAGGAGTGTTTGTGTATACCACTACTGTAAGAATAGAATGTGATCAACTTAGACTGCAAGGAAACGTGTAGGAAGCAGTCGGCAAACTCAATTACGCGTTTGACTTTCACTGCTATAACAAGGGCAGATGAACTGGGCTTGGAACTGAGGATTCTGATTACAATGATCAACTAGGGCTGCATTAGTCCTTGACCAACCAACTCCTTCT